CGTCAAGCTGGTGTTATCGACTAACTGGTCTCAAAGCAAATAACTATGTTGGAGCAAGTGGTGGGGTCTGGTGAAGGGTACTGAATATCCCCATATTCATCCCTTCCAAATTCTAAAGAGCTATTACACCAGTTTTAACACCTTCCTCATGTTATGTTTAAAAATAAATTTATGAAACAGTTTTAAAATATGCACAGTTGCATCCTGGAGAACCTAAGGTGGCGCCTTATAGTATCACGTGTTAGAAGCTTTTTGAATGGTGCATTTAACGCAACTGGTAACTGCAAATCTACTTTGCCTCTTTAAGTAAACATTATAGACAGTTCTACTCTGGTAGACCTTATGAAATTCTGCACTGAAAGGATATACATATATCTATCTATATATATATTTCCTTAATTCACATCTTGCCAAGGTGTTACAATGCCTTAGCTTTCAGTTGCTTTACTCTCTCTTAAGACAGGAGAGGTTAAGTTCCTGTTCATTCTGCTCTAGTTTTGAGGACCATATGAGGATGAATATATCAACTGTTTATATAGAATCCTGTATGAGCACTCAAACCAGTTCCTTAAGTTGATGGCCAAATGTTAAAATGTTTTGTATGTCTCATTTAAACTAAAGTCCATATAGCAAGCAACGTTATCTCCTAGATCACATTGAAAGTATCTTCCAGAGTAGACTTGATAGTTTTTGTAATTATCTTCAATTAGCATGCACAGTGCAGAATTTCATAAGGATGAGGTGTGCCATCAGTGTGATAACTTAAAGATATTTAAAACAATGCACAAATTTGCTGCTGCTTAGAACACTGCAGCTTCTAAACCCAGTTTATTTTACTGAATAAAAAATTTAAAAAGTTGTGCCTGAAGTGAATACATTTTTTTTTTTTTTGCAGCCAGCACCCAGTGTACTGTAAAAGAATACTTAGGCTTTCCATAGCTGTATTGAGACTTTCATCAAGGTGAAATAGTTGATGTCTGTGTGCTTTTTTTTCTCCCTCCAGGCCCCTTCTCTCCCCTCCCTCCCCTTCCTCAGCCACACTTTATCAAGCGAGCAAACTAAATGATTGGTCTAAGTATTACTTTAACCAAAAAGATCAGGAGTTATTTTCTTTGAATAGAGGGCAGTACTGTGTTTTTTCCCCCATGTTACCTCTATTCTCAATTTAGGGTTTTTCTTCTCTGGGAGATGCATTATCTTTGTAAAACAAACATTGCTTTCTCCAATTTTTCTGTTAATGGCGAAGAATGGAAATAGAATAAAGTTTTACTGATTTTGAAAAACTGCCTCAATCTTGTAACTCCTTCATTAAGACTATTCCTAGTCGCAAAATATACTCGGGTATAGATCAGAGTTGACTAACTTCTGTATTCTCAGGCCATTCTAGACACTTTTTCCAGCCCCTGTAAGGATGATCTGGCTCCATGAAGTATTGTAACCTACTGGTAAGGGTTTCACTGGTACAGAGCACATGTCCTTGGATGGTATAAGGTCAGATGCTGAGCACAGGTTGGCAAGGAACAGTGGGTTTTTTCCCCAGGCGGTGGGTCTCTTCCACACATCCCACAGTGAAATGGATGTCATACCAGTCACCCTGGGTAGCTGGAGTTGAAATTGCCATGTCTAAGTAGAATTAGAATAATTTCAAGGAAAGCTTTGGGTTTTTAAAAGATAACACTTAAAACCACACTGATTGCCCCCTTTTTTTTTAGTATCAAAGATTTCAGTTCAAACATTTTGGACTATGAGACAGAATCTTGAGATTTATGTAACATGTAAAATTAAAGATGTTCTTCTTACATACACACACTCACTCTATTGTTGTCGTTAATTTAGGGCACGTATTCCGATTAAAATTTGCCTGGAAACCATTTTGACTGGTATGCTGAAATCAAACTTTGACACACCAGTGTGTTTGCATTTCCCACCCCAATAATTTGCATTGCTAAACAGGCAAGCTGATCTTAAGCTTGTCATGCACTTGCATAAGAAACTTTACACACCACCTCAATGCAGTCATTTCTTGTGCATGTGTCCTAGGGCTGTGTGTACTCCTGGTCTGCCGCTAGGCCCCAACTAGATCTGGCCTGCAAATGGATTTGGGGACCAGCCCTCATGTATAATCAGGATTTTAACCTCTATTAAATGTGCCCAGGAGTGGAAAGACAAGGAAATGCAGCATTCCCTTTCCCCTGCTCTCCTGACCACACACTAGGCAGCAGGACAACCTTCCACTCAGCAGCTGGTGAGCTGAGAGCTAATTACTGTAGTGTGCTTCACCAACACAACCTCTGCAGGGAATGCAGAACAGATGCCTGCAGCCAGTAGGATTGCACTCTGTTCCTCAGTTGGTAAGGTTGTGATGGGAACTGGCAGGTTCAATTCAAAGTGCAATGTGGCAACAATTTGAAAGCCCTTCTACAAATTGTGTCACACTGCTCTTCCTCTTCCCCTACCCACCTGACCACTCCACTTTCTGAGATCGCCCCAATTCACTATGGGTGGGCTGACTAGACCCATGGCACTCTCAACCAAATAGTCAAAGCCCAGATCTGCCCAATTCAATTTGTGATCTGGGTTTCAGTCAGATCTGGTGCACAACATTAATATGTACATATCATTGTTGTGCTATAAAGCAGGGGTGGACGGATTAGGTTTGTACGCTTAGAACATACAGGGGATGAGTCTACAGTACCTCTCCACAATGGTGCTTTTAAAACATTTCTTCCCTGCAGTATATTAGGGTTGAGAGAGTTCAGTTCTTGTCAGCCAAAATTTGGGAGTAGCTTGAGAAGTCTGTTGCTGGGGAATAAATCCAACTTCAGATTTCTCTATATTTGAACAAAAACATTCTTTTCCAGTAAAAGTAGTCTACTTCCAATTCCATTCACGTTTTCTTTCATTTAAGCAAAACACTGCAAATTATATAGAAAAAAGGGTGCTTCTTTAAATGACTTGATATCAATTACACTTGCTAAACAATAGCAGGTACTAATATTCCATTGGGAACAATGCAATATGATGTCTATTAGATTAGATAAACCAAAATGTCACAAAGATACTAGCATGCCATCAACTTCAGAATTATCTCTAAATAAGCCAAAGGCATTGTCTGAAAGCTTACTTTATTGGGGGGGGGGTGGTAAGCAGGAATACTCCTAGGAAAAGCATGATATATCTTCAAATAATGGTACCAAGTGATTAGTTACTTCCATAGCTGATACATCCTCATCATGGGTGGTACTCAACTAAATTTTACACCAAGCAGATGTGCTGAAATTAATGTACCTAACTTAATCTCATGTTTGTTAATTTCAATGGGTCTACTCTTGATTAAAACTGAATTTTCTACTACCCATAAATCCTTTCTACAATGAAATTATCAGACTGATAAATGAGTTCATAGACAGATTCTGACAATAGTTATTCTCAGTGTGTAGTATATATGCAGCTATTAGTTTATTCAAAGTATAAGTGCTTTGGTAAAAACTGATCACTCTCTAAAGTTGGTCAACATGTCTAGCATGTTGCCAACTAGATGTTTCCAGAAGGCACAAGAACAAGAAATCAATAACAGACTCCTGCTGTTGTGCATGTGTGTACACAATGCAGCTGCTATTACTTTCTCTGAACAGTTTTGAATTGATGTTTTATTTATTTAATAAAATTTATACACTGCTTGATTGTAAAAACAACAACCCTCAAAATAGTTTACATAGGATCTTGTTAATTATATTGTAAGAGAGTAACTTTATTTTGGCTATCCTGAATCTAATGAATTTCAGCTTCATTATGTAACTGATTTCAAGTGTTTGTGGATAAAGGTTCTCTTTATTCACTATCTCTATACATGATTTTGTAAAACACTTGCTTATGTTAGGCATATATACTATTTTTGCTATAATGGTGATCACTGGGTGCCCACTGTGATTTTACAAGTGTCATGAAGTACCTATTGGCCATTATGGGGTGGGTGTTGGGTGTAAAATATGTGTTCTCAGTATATTATCTCCCCCTCTTCTATCTTAAGAGGCTTGACTAGAAGCCAAGTCTAGCTGGATTCAGAGGTGACGGGTAAAGAACTGTGGCGCTGGTCTGTTCACATAGTGAGAAAAGGGAAGAAGAGCGAGGGTGGGACACCATGCAAAGAGCACATTTTCACAAAAGCACACCATCTTCTAGTGAGAAGGGATTTTGAAAAGTTCAACTCGTTTCATTTACACTCCAGTGGGACCCGTGCTCTGTAAGTGATAACATGTGCAAGGTCTTGCATTCAATCCCCTGCCATGACCACTTTAAAAGGGCAGCATGAGATCATTGTGAGAACATGCAGCAGCAGCTACAATGGACACACAAGTGTGCCTGATGGGCAGGGATGATGATGTTGGCCTCCATCTGCCTCGAGAATGCAGTGTGACTCAGGGGTGAAGTCCAACCGCTACAAAGTGACCTCCCCAGGGCACAGGCTTGGGCATTGTGTATGGGCTGCCCAGACGACAAGGCCTCCCTCCCAGTTTTGCTGATGTAGCCCAAAGGATGTTGATGATGATGATACCCCGCCCATCTGGCTGGGTTTCCCTAGGAAAGCAGAGCAACATGTTTGGCACCAGCTTGGCTGTAGGACTGCAGCTAAGCTGGTGCAGGAGGAGGCGGCGTACAAGGCGCCACCCAACCATCTTAGGAACCCCACTCCCGATCCGTGTAGACCAACAACAGACGAAGAGCTACAGTTCAGCGCCACCTGGCTCCATAAGCCACTGCTGTGGTCCTGAAGAAAGCCACTTCCATCAACTCCCGGGGCTGGAGCATTGCGTTTGGCTTCGGAGTCCTGCCGGAACGAATCCGGCGCTGCCCTTCCTTCTTACTTGCCGCAACTGGGGTGGGAAGCGCCGTCCCGCGAGAACCGCCTCCCACCCTGCTCTCGCCAGGCAGAAGGACAACAACACCCAGCCGCCCAGCACTCCCCACGGAGCCCTTGCTTTCAGTTAGCCCCGCCCAAGCGAGCGACGTCTCCGAATGCTTCCGGCGCCGGGGGATGACGTCAACCGTACGGCGGGTCGGAAGGACCGATCTTGGGAAGGGCGTTCTGGCGGCTGCGGAGCCTGGAAGTGAGGTGAGAGGCGAGTCGTAACGAGGAAAGGGGGAGGCAGGGCAGCCCCGTCTCCCCTTCGGGCTGAGGGGCTGGTCGGGAAGGTGCGGCGCTGCCTTTCTCCGCCTGGTGCCGGGAGACGCTGCCTTGGGCGGCTCTTCCTTCGCTGCCAGGGTTGGGTGTGCCCGTCCCTTCCGCTGGAGCCGCTTCTCCCCTGGACCTCCATGCGGACTGCTGGGGGCTCTATCTCAGCGGCTCTATGCGTTTGGGGGCCGGCAGGCTGAGGGCTTGGGGGGCGACCCCTTGCGCTGCCCTGCTCGTATGGGGAAGGGTCCTCCGGGGGCTGCCCGGCTGCCCTTGGTGGTCCCAAGGCATGCAGAGAGATGGGGTGTGGGGCTGCCAAGCGGGGCTCGCCTTTGCCCCCCTCTGGACATCAGATGTTGGCAGTCGCAGGCTAGACGCGATTGAACGTAAGAAGAGCCCTGATGATGGATCAGGCCAGTGGTCCGTCTAGTAGTCTAACATCCTGTACCCACAGTGGTGGGACAGGTGCCGGTGGGAAGCCCGAAAGCAGGACACGGGCGCAACAGCACTCTGCCCACCTGCGATTCCCAGCCACTGGTATTTGGAGGTGCACCCAATGCTGTCAGTGGAGGTGGAAGATAGCCATTGTGGCTTGATAGCTTGCTCTGCCACAAGTTTGTGTCCTGAAATGTTTACATTTTGACACGAGACACCGCCTGAATCTATTCACTGTATGCTCTGTATTGAAACAACATTTCTATTTATAAAATCATTTGTATGCTAGCCTTCTGCGCAAAGCCATCCAGTGCAGATTGCAGCACCATAAAAACCGTACATATACAAAATATAACAGCAGCAGCATTTACAGTCATTTAAAAACCTAAGCTAGTTTGGAAACAGTTTAAAACAGTTTAAAAACATCAGTATACATTGCTAATATAGAACTCTCTGCACCAAAATTACCAATTCTAAAAGAGCAACCTTTAAGAGAAATTGGACCAAAAGATAAGTTTTTAAGGACGACATAATGTTGAGGCCATACAAATCTGCTAATCACAGATGTCAGCTGCACTTCAAACTACAAATTTTGATATCACCCTTCAGGAAATGCAATGCAATCTGAGGCCAGTTGTACCTCTCTATCCAGATCAGCCAGATCCTCATTCAGAGCAGCTCTATCTTATCAGAATTGAGTTTCAGCTGGGTTATCTTCATCCATCTCAAAATTGTCTCAGTTTCCTATTCAGAAATCATTTACATATTTTTCATCTTATTCTCACATCAGTTTAGGTTGAGCAGTAGCTTGCCCAGCACCACCCAGTAACTTTCTTTCCGCTGTAGAAGTTCCTTAGTGGCCTTGTGCAAGCTGCTGTTCAACCTAAACTGCTTCACTGTATTGTGAGAATAAGGGGACCCTCAGGCCCAGGGGCCAGGCCTCTCTACCTGGCCCACAAGACTCTTCCTAGGCCACACACACTCCCGAGCCACACCCCTCCTTAAATATTTTTGCCTGTCTGGAATGCACATTTGACTTCTGATAACATTTCTTGTTTGCCTGGCTGGAGTTAAGAGAGGGATGTGTAACTTACAGTACAAACATATATCTACAGTTGCTCCCCCACTAATGTTCTGGCCATGCTCACTACTGGCATGTGGCCCCAGACAGGTTGCCATGCAGGGAATGTGGCCAGAGGCTGACCAAGCTTCTCCACTCCTGTGGTAGAGAATGGATTTGAGCCAGTGGCTACCTAGGCTAATAGTGCAATCCTGTCCATGCCTACTCAAAAGTAAACTCCACAGAACTTTCTCTCAGGTAAATGTGTACAATATTGCAGCCCAGGTCTAGGATCTTATTATTTTACACTGCTGAGCCTGTATTGGGGGCGATTTGGGTCCAGATCAATCATCCATGAATTCTCAGACTGGGTTTGGCCTTGTTTTGTTTAATTTATCATCTGCCTTTCAGCCTGTGGTAAAGCCCTCTAGCTGACTACTACAGTACCAAACACGTTGGGTCTTCAGAATTTTTATTCTGTCTCTGCATTTGCTATGTGTTTCTGAAAGACGCTTTCTTTGAGATCTTGGCTCTGCTAATGTATCTGTCCTACCAACAGGTCCCTGAGGAGGGCGATGACTGAATACAAGCTGGTGGTGGTAGGAGCTGGTGGTGTTGGGAAAAGTGCCCTAACCATCCAGCTCATCCAGAATCACTTTGTTGATGAATATGATCCCACTATAGAGGTGAGCTCTTGCAGGCATTTTCAGTCTTGGGACCTTATTGACTGTGCGTGCATGATATGAACCTATGTTTTTTGTGTTTGCTGTGCTGCCAGCATACAAGAGGTGCAGCATACTGTCGTCAGTGCTAAGTGTTAGAAACCCAGAGTCTCACACTCATTAAACTTATCCCGTCTTTAGAGAAGTGGACAGAAAATATGGATTCATTTATCCTTATAATATCAGAAAGCTCAGAACTTTTTTGCAAAAGTATTTTTTTCAGATCTGCATAACTGTTAATCAGTGGTATCTTTTTAAATCATTGAAATCAGTGGGATTAAATTAGTTATGCTAACATAAATCCATTGGTTCCGATGGATCTACTCTGAGTATGATTTAGCCAGACACCACCCAGTATGTGTAACCAAATTAAAATATTTGAGTTTTGTGAATTATTTGGCAAAGAATTGGGAGAGATTGGGGGCAGAGATAGCTGTAGGAATAAAAGGTTGAGGGACAGAGCTCTCCCAGAACTGGGACACAGATTCCTCCCTTGTTCTAAGTTTGGTTTCTGGAACTTTACCAGAAACTCCCATGTTTTCAAAATCTCAACTGATATCTTTTCTTGTTTGAAAAGAGTTCGTGAGGTTCTTCAGTTGATTGAGCAAATAGGCATGTGTGGAATCCCCAACAGCTCATGCTTCTGGAAGCACGTCATCCTTTAATCACCAAATACAGTAAAGATTGGAGAAGGGCTGATTTCGAAACTGTGGATCATCACAGTGTGTTGAAGTGTGTGGCAAACAGGATTTGGTGGATCAGATCATGCTTAGTCCTGAAACTATACTTTTTCCCCACAGGACTCTTACCGTAAACAGGTAGTTATTGATGGAGAGACCTGTTTGTTAGATATCCTGGACACAGCAGGGCAAGAAGAGTATAGCGCTATGAGAGATCAGTACATGAGAACTGGGGAAGGCTTTCTATGTGTGTTCGCCATCAACAACAGCAAATCATTTGCAGATATCAATCTTTACAGGTAAGCTGTGCTTGCAGGAAGGAGGTAGGAAAGGCACAGCTGCGTGCTAGTGCTGAGCCAAAATCCACCGTAGCCCTTGAATAGACTGTATTGCTAAAGCGGTTGGTAGTCATGTCTAGAACAGAGGTGGTAACTGGATCCTGCCAGCAGGTCAGATCCTGACCTCCCCCAACCCCCATAGACTGTTTTGACAATTAGGTGAGGGCTGCCCACCTGTCAGTCAGCTGCTATCTGATAAAGCATTTTCATTTGCCTGTGTGGTTTGAAATCAAACTGCGCATTCAAAAGCTCAGGAGTTTATGTACAGCTGAATATGCTGTTCAACAGGTTTTTGCTCATAAATCAATCAAATACCGTTACCTGATCAAAATATTCAAATATTTCTGGAGAAATAGGGGACCATTATGATAGCTGCCCTGGCATAGGAAGGGATGGAGAGGATCATACTCAGGTGAATAAAAGGATGGTTGGAGCACCTTTCTGTTCTCATGACCTGGTTCATATAGTTTATGGTATGCTGATTTGACTTCTATCCCACTTTCAGTTCAGAAGGACAGCTTATATGAAATTATGCAATCATGTGATATCATAAACCCACCTTATGGCATTGCTCTGAACTGCAGGATTTTTCATTATCTGAAGTCAGAAGAGAAGCAGCCAGGTGCAGCTGCCGTGTTTTGGGAGCAATGACAATTTTAACAGCATGTAAAATTGAAACATAGAGGCTGTGATCTCTTCCCACCCATTTCTCCAGAGAGCAGATTAAAAGAGTGAAAGATTCTGAAGACGTACCAATGGTGTTAGTGGGAAACAAATGCGACTTGCCAACACGGACAGTAGATACCAAACAAGCTCATGAAGTAGCCAAGAGCTATGGGATTCCCTTCATTGAGACATCTGCCAAAACGAGACAGGTAATGGATTCTTGTGCTTCTGCTTTGCTCTCTTGAGAACGACCAGCACTGTTCTGGTACACTGATTGAGAAGCCAGCACTAGGCAGGCAGAGGGTTGGAGCTTGTTGGTAGGAGTACTATCCTATAGGCTGCATAAACTTGGAACCTTAAAAAAAAAAAATCAAGCACACTTCCTGCATGTGAGGACTAAGGTTCCATTGATGAAAGTGGAAGCTTTTTTAAAACCCTATTTGTCATGTAGGGATGACCCTTTCTGGGGGGAATCACAGCTGGGGTTAACCCTTTTCTCCCCTCTCCTCTGCCCCAAATGCCATGCATGCAGCAATCAGGCCTGAAAAATTCTATTAATGTCAATAGGCTTTTTTCAAGCCTACCTGATTGATGTCTTGTGGGCATGTTTGTGGCTTGGGAGGAAAGGGTTAGACTTCCATGACACGTGTGACACACGCACACCCCTTTTGGGTGTGGCAATTAGGTTTCAAAAACAACAACAGCACCCTCATGTTGGCTCAAAATAAGAAGCTCTTTTTAAGCCTATTTGCCACACAGGTAGGGGTGGGCAATCTTCATGGTAACTGCAGTTAGGGAGGGAAGGATTAACCCTCCCCCCATGTGCTGTAATACCCACAAAAATCACCTTCTAAACCTCAGCTTCAGTGTTTTATTTTCAAGTCCAATGGCTGCTGTTGTTCATGAGTGAATGTGAATGAATGAACGAATGAATGAATGAATGAGGGGATTAAGGTTTATGTATGTTTTTATGCGTGAATGGGGGTGGGTGTATATAAGGGAGAATGTGGGGGGAGGGTTCCCCTATTTCTTGCATTGATTCTGCCGACTACTGTAATGCAGTCCGCCGCTCGGTAAATTTGACATGAAACCTTTCAAGAGGGATGTGTGGAGAAGGGGCAACAAAGAAAACATCTCCTAGGCCCAGAAGCACTTGTTTCTGACCAGAATATCTTTCCCGTTCAGGGTGTTGAAGATGCCTTTTACACACTGGTGAGGGAGATCCGCCAATATCGGATGAAAAGACTCAACAGCAGTGAAGATGGGAATCAAGGCTGCATGGGACTCTCGTGCCTTGTGATGTGATCAGGTGGGTGGCAGTTTCTGCTAAAGAAGTGATTGAGAAATATGAGGGCACAGTGTTTTTGAAGAAATCTCTTATTTTGAAGGACAGTGATACAAACAAGTTTTGCAAAGTAGGCGTAGGAGACAGCGAGAGTCAGAAAGCTGAGTGGCAAACTGGAGAAAATGCAGATGAATGCCTCATAAGAAGGACTTGTCAGTTTGCATCTTTAAAGCAGGCTCCTACAAAGCTCAAATAGACAAAAAGGGCTTGGCAAAAATCTTTGGAAACCTCTGACATAGGGGCTGTAGCTTCCTAATGCTAAAGTTCATGTAATAGGTGTCAGGTCTCTATAGCCTCTTTTAAAAATAGATGTTTAAATAACATAAAAATCTACCAATCCCTTATCTGATAGGGATAAAATGCCTACAGCCTGTTCCCTCTGCTCTAGCGTCATTATCCTGGGCAAACTCTACAGCTTTCTTGGTTTTTGTGGGTTTGATTCACTGGAAATTAATGCTGCATGTGGAGTTCTCCTGGGACTCTGCTTTGGCAATCTTAAACTTTGCCCTGTTTCTGTTATAGAGCATGTAGTGGAGCAAAACTAACACGATGTATCTCTTTGTTTCAGCTGTCAAAAACATCTGGCCAAAGTGCAGCTAGAGGGTGAATCTTAAGTCCACTGTTGCATTTCACCAGTACCCTGGTGCCAGTTCTAATTCTTTTCTGTCGGCACCTGAAGAAAATGTCTCTGAACATCTACCTCTTTGCTCAGCTGAGCAAGCAAAGAAAGTCTCCTCTGTTGGTGGTGGGATTTCCCCGCCCCCACCCTCTCTTTCTCGGAAAGGTTCAAACGGAGGAACTGGTATGTGAAACTGTAGAGGCCGAATACTTTGAAAGGACCATATACCTGTTTCTGGAAGGAAAGCTGGAGAAAATTGTGATCACACTGTACTGAAAAGCCTGACACTCTCCACCATTTTTGGACAGGGAAATGCTAGCAGCATGCCCCTGCACTATATATCTAAAATATTTCTATAGCACACCAACTTATTGCACTTATTTTGACCTCTAGCCCTTGGCTTTCTTTCTAGTAAGAGATCTTGAATAACCAAGTGCCTATTTGCAAAGGCAGGACAGGCCTTAAACTTACCCTGCAAAGTTCCTAGCTGTCCCATCTTGAGCACCTGAACCTGCCTCAGACTCTTGGTCTGCCTGCTCTTGACCTGCAGTGGGTTTCCAGTGTCCTCCTTCCCTGCTCTGTTCACTGATCCTTCTTAATAGGACTTTCAGGGGGTTGAATGTGGAACCTTCTACATGCAGAGCATGTGTTCTGCCATTGAGCTATATCACCTCCCCAGTAATGCACAAGGACGTCTCTGCACTGTTGACTGAAATACACATTGATCTTTAAGACCTGTGGGGAACTCCAGCAGTCATTCGCCATCCTCCAGTGTTAAATACATTTCATTTAACTCTACTTGACAATGCTGGAAGGCATTGGTGCCTCTCACCAGGCCCCGTTAACAGCCGTGGATATTAAAACTAACATTTACTCCAATGCCGGTCTATGCACTTCTCTCTCTTTTTTTAAATTCGTTCAACACCTTTGTCAGGCACAGACTCTTTATTTTTGATCTGTGAAAAATGAACCAGGGGGAAACACACTTCATCAAGATTATATACTTTGAAAGCTCTTTCTGGGTGACTGCTGTGCAGTTAAGCTACAGGTAAAGAGCTAGGGGAACAAAAGGGGAACACAAGGGGATTTAGCCACACAGTTTGATGCTGCTTGGATAAAGAAGTAAATTGCTGTTGTGCATTCAGCCTTACGAACTTTGGAACTGGATTTTTCATGAGCCTATGTGCCCCATAATTCTCTGTTCAAATGAATATTTACTGGGAAAGAGCTGATTGACTAGATAACCACTATTTATTTGAAAGCCATAATATTTGATCCTGGTTCTCATGTCTTGTTCCTGTTTTGCAACTGAATGTGTGAACTGCCTTGATTCCGAAGTGTTCTTGCTTGATATGATGGAAATTCGTACAAAAGTGCTGTCTGTGGTAGTTGTTTGATACATACATGTCGTTGCTAGATGTTGTGGTTAATGCATTTATAAATTCTTCCTAAGCGGGGGCCAGACTGCAGTAGAAATGGAGTACAGGACCGTAAGTCCTTTATTGGTGGTTTTATTACGTTGCCATTTTACTGTACAAGCTCCAAGTTGGAGAAATCACTGTGCAATCACAAATAGCGAGATGGTGGACACCTATTTCCTAAAATAGCTTTTCTCTTGCCTAATATGATGATGATGATGTATCGTTTCAGAGATGTGCAGTATTCTGAGAGGGTGTTAATACGTCTTGCATCTAGGTAAACTGTTAATCAGGTCTAGGCCTTAAGACATCACAGAACTCCTTTTCTTAAGGGGCTGGTATCACTTAAGCAATAAAGTGGTACATTGTTTAAGTCCATTTCCTTTGTTTTTATGGCCAGAGTTCCTATGCCCCTTTCTATTTGCATGGCATGTATAACTGTAACAGGTACATTGATGGAGGGAGCATTATTTGTTGATTTTCTGCTCATCTTGTAGCTGTTCAGGATGTTGAACATAGGAGTACTGCCAGATAAAAGTGGCAGTCCTTGTACCACTTTAGGAAGTCTCCCTCCACTTGCATTTACCATGTAAAGGTTGTGTCTGCAGAAGCCTGAAGATTAAGTGTCATGTCTGGCTGAGCTTTCTGTATATTAGCCAGCGAAAAAGCAGCAGTGAAGAAGATATTGGCCAGTTTCACACCCATTGTTAATCTGAGTCCAGTTGCTGCAGATGATATTCCTTCACTAGACTAACTTTGCATTCTCTAGAGATAAAGCATTCTTCCACCTTCAGAATAATAATTATTGTTATTATTATTATTATTTGCCTTGATGAACACCTAATTGATTAACTGAAACTAGTGGTCGGTATTTTTAAAAGTATTTGCGGTATTGTTTTTAAAAATACTACTTGAATTCTTCTGGCTCAGGGGCAGGGGTGGTACCCTGCAGATGTTCCATCTTCCCATCTTCCCTGACTAGTGGGCTGACAATTGGGATCCAGCAGCATCTGGAGGCACACCACTGCCTGCCTCTGCTCTGTGCCTTTGTAAGTGGCCAGTTTTGCCGCATGTGACTGAATTAATGGTTAGAGAAAGCACAGATATGGAGTTGAAAAGGGAAGAAAGTGCCTATTTGCTGCCTGATGAATTTGAGTTCTGGGGTGTTTAAATATAATTTTAAAATGCTCACAATGGTGCTTGCCTCTTCAGATTCTCCAGCATAATATAGGATGGTCATAAGCTACGAGAAATAATAGTAATAGTAACATGAGCAAATGGCAAAGTGTGCATTAATAAGATCTCTACTGATTTTACAGCTAATTGAAGAAAAGCTCCCTTGTATGTTCTCGAGTTATGGGAGTTACACTCTGCCAATTTCCTTCCATTTGGATAGTAGAAAAGGTGTCTTGTCTTAATTGGTCTCTAACATACCGGTAACTGATTCTGCCACTGTGTTGCTCTTGCTGACAGGCAATCTCATTTCCTACAGCCGAATACCACAATTAATATGGGGCAGTAGATTCTGTGTGGATAGGAAGCAAGGCATGCTTCAGCTGTGATTGCACAACACTGGATGGGCTCTCTTTTTAATGAAGTATCAGAACCCAGCATTTAAACATGGCATGTCACCAAAGGACTAATGTCAACTCTATTACTATGTAATCCATTTCTCACTCATTTTGTGTTTTAATCAAATAATGTTTGTAAAAAAATTCTAAAATACATCAATATTATTCCTTGGTGTGTGTGTAATTCTTATTATCCATTTCATTTCTATACTGCTTTATATTTTTAAGGGAAAAACAAATCTCAAAGCGGAATGCAACCTTGGGATACTAGTAGTAACTTCTTAGTGGTAAAGAAGTATGAGCCTTCTTAAAGGTCAGTGTAAATCTATAAGTAATGATGGAGTGATCTGAACTGGTCTGAACCCTATATTACTCAATCAAGCCACAGCAAGCCTGCTGCTGTGTCATAGACTCTGTTGACAGTAAGGAAATTGATTTACACTTATCTGTCTTTATCTTCACCTCCTACTTGCTTTAGATAAGTCTCTCCTGGGAGAAGTCTCTAGGTTTCCTGTTCTCTCTTCAGCTTAGAGGGTTTTCCCCTTCCTAAATCATACTTTGTAGCTGGACTAGAGATTCTCCATTAGTTATACATGGGTGATGGTGGAAAGTTCCTGAGTAAAGGCTGTTATGAAAGCTAGCATGGTGTAGTGGTCAGAATGTCAGACTGGAGGAGATCTGGGTTCAAATCCCCAGTCAGCCATTATGCTTACTTGGCCCAATTACTCAGCATAGTCTTCACAGGCTTGTGAGGCTAAGCCAGAGGTCCTTGAGGAGAGCAACTTGGGGAAAGGCTGGGGTGTAATAAATGAATGATTTCTCTTTTACCTTAAGGGGCATCGCTTTTCCTAAGGGAGCACAAAGCTACAATTTCTCCTATGTCCACAGACTACAGTCTGATTAGTGGGATAAGCCCATCTGGGCAAACAAGACTTCTATTGTTGGGAATTTAGAGCCTATAATCCTACCTCTGCCAATCACTTGCACTTTCTGCTTTTGAAAGGGCTGCAGTGGATCCAGTTTATCTTCAATGTGAATTCAAAACTTTTTTGGGGTTAGTTGTCATGGATAACAAACCCTAGCCTGCTTCTACCCTAAAGTCACATTTTTGCATATGGGTCAGCGGTCGCTCAGAAATGTGGATTATCTGTTTCTAGGTGAGTAATGTTGCTTAGTCTTCAGATTTTAGTGATCTTTGCCACCCCTTTTCTAGGTGCCCAGGACCCTTAATTCCTAGACTCGCTTGCCATGTTGACACATTTTCTGGGATTTGCAAGCTTCTCTCACAGGAGCTCAAGAGGAAAGCATAAATGCACTTTGATGGGTACTGCAAAAGGATAAGCAACAAAGCCAGAAAGGTTTTCATGAGAACATTGTTGTTTTACCTCTTTGTTGCAGAAGTTTGGTTCTGTAGAAGCAGTGTGAAGAAGCTCATTTGAAGGAGAAACACTAACCAGGAAAATGTTATGCAGGACGTGTCCTACCAGCTTTCTTTGAATCATAGTGGCTGGGTAGAACAATTACAGAACTGTACTGTTGAATTGGTACACTAAATGGGCAGAGGATTTTTTGTGCTTTTTTTTTTTTTTTTTGGTAACTATAAGAGCCCATCCCTTTCCTCTAAAGTAGGAATGGGAAACCTGTGGCACTCCAGGTATTATTGAACTTGCCTCAGCCAGCATGGCCAATGAATGCTCAGGGATGACAAAGTCAAAAACAACCTATCAAAAGCAGTTCTCATTCCTCCTTTAAAGCTTCTGCAGGTGTGTTACCCTGGTATAAATTATCAGAAAGGAGCAAGCAGAATCTACGTATGTTTACTTCTCCCTAAATACTGGAGCTGGCTGGTGGCTTTCAATGCTTGCCACGCAGAGGAAATTCAATCCCTTAGTTATCTGATATGACCACATGCAAGTGTGACTTGGACAAGGGCTGTTGCTCCAAGAAAGAGTAGTAAGAGCTAGTCTGTGATATGTGGACTATTTGTGCGAGTGTACAAACAGAAACAGCATTTCCCATACTTCTGCTAGAGGTCACAATTTGTTTTTATGAATTAAAATCACAGGCAGAGCACTCATGGCAATAGCTGAATTAAAATGAAGTTTTGCCGCTAAGAGTGAGACCTTACATTTGAACCCTGATTGTAGAATTAGAAGTGACTGTGAGCATCATCTAGTCCACCCCCCTGCAATGCAGGAATTACTATTGCACTGGGGAAATGTCTGTGCAGTGCACTTCTCCCATTCCTTTGCTTCCCGTTTTCTTTTTCCTAGTGTAAAGTATGAAGCCTTTCCCTAGATGTACCTGAGCTGACGTTGTCCTCAGTTGCCACCTTGTTTCAGCACAGGACGCGGGTGGCGCTGTGGTGTAAAACTACTGAGATTCTTGGGCATGCCGATTAGAAAGTCGGCAGTTTGAATCCCCACAGCGGGGTGAGCTCCCATTGCTCTGTCCCAGCTCCTGCCAACATAGCAGTTCGAAACCACACTAGTGCAAGTAGATAAATAGGTACCATTGTGGCGGGGAAGGTAAACAGTGTTTCCATGCGCTCTGGTTTCCACCGCGGTGTCCCGTTGTGTCAGAAGTGGTTTAGTCATGCTGGCCACATGTCTCAGAAAGCTGTCTGCAGACAAACGCCGGCTCCGTTGGCCTAAAGCAAGATGAGTTCCGCAACCCCTTAGTCGCCTTTGACTGGACTTAACCGTCCAGGGGTCCTTTACCTTTTACCTTACCTTGTTTCAGCATGGAATATACACATTGGTCTCAGCAGCACCCTAGTTCTGTGCATCAACAGCCGCTTCAGCCTGAATGTTTAATGTCAAAAAGCCTGCCACATCTTGGTGTCATACGTGAAAAGAACAGAAACCCAAACTGCTTAGGTTAAGAATCTTGGTCTTGAAACTATTGGATTTTTGCATACACATGTATGCCAGGAGAAGTTAGGCAGTGAAACTTCCCAGCCAAGGAGGAAAATGTACTTTTAATAAAGCCCTGCCAATGGGACACAGCCATCATGGAGCACAAGGGTCTATCTGCTCTGCTCATATCCTCACATTCTCTGTTCTACCCTTTTCCTTCTGACCCCAAGGAAGCTTAGCTAGTTAATTTGATATTCTGGATAAAAGAAGGCGCAAGAACTCAAAAGAGAATTAACAAGACTGTAGAGCCTGAAGGTCATTCTTGGTTTCAGATGCAAATTTAATGCCGTTGACATTCAGTGCAGAAAGATTAGAAGCAAATGCACTCTTTATAGATAGCCATAGAGGGCAGATAGTTTGCGCATTCAAAGGAGTGAGCCATTGGGCTTGGCTGTAAGGTTTGGTTATATTGATGGGGGATAAGGAATTTGGAGCGCCTGGTCAGAAGACATTGGTGACTGGAAATAGTTGTCATAGTTGTACATCAGAAGCAAAGCAGCGTTTTAGGAAGGCCACTCAAATACTTGGCCCTGTTTCAGTAGTCGTAATATTCATTTCTTGTGCTATCCTTGCTTTAAAATTTGATTTTATATCCCACCATTCTAGCCCTTAGGATGACTATTGCCAATTGAAGTTACAGTAGTTATAAAATAAAAGGTAAAGGTAAAGGTACCCCTGCCCGTACGGGCCAGTCTTGCCAGACTCTGGGGTTGTGCGCTCATCTCACTCAAGAGGCCGGGGGCCAGCGCTGTCCGAAGACACTTCCGGGTCACGTGGCTAGCGTGACAAGCTGCATCTGGCGAGCCAGCGCAGCACACGGAAACGCCGTTTACCTTCCCGCTAGTAAGCGGTCCCTATTTATCTACTTGCACCCGGGAGTGCTTTCGAACTGCTAGGTTGGCAGGTGCTGGGACCGAGCAACAGGAGCGCACCCCGCCGCGGGGATTCGAACCGCCGACCTTTCGATCGGCAAGCCCTAGGCGCTGAGGCTTTTACCCACAGCGCCACCCGCGTCCCAAGTTATAAAATACAATAACATTAAATAATGTAACATCATAAAACAGGGGTAGGTTCAGCAGGGGGCAGATGAAACAAATGTACCCCTGGCTACCACAGAAACTTGAGCATCCATTCTCAGGAAGGATTGGAGCCATATAAAGCCATATAATAACATTTCAAAAAAGCACTAAACATATTTGGTATGTATTGATGAATTCAATATTTCTTAGTTTTGCCATGCAATCTTGCTCTAAGGGAGCAGAGTACCCACCGCTAGCCTGGATCGATACAGATTTTGAAGAGGCAAAAAACTGTTTGAAAGGATGCTGCAGATAAGTTCCAGTGCTGAACATATCCCAAAGGATTGTGGTGCAAAGTCAGTACTTTTTTATTCAGTGCAAATAGTTGTGCTAATCTGGTCTCCATTCATGAGTCAGTGATAGGGGCCACCTGTGACCAACTCAAAAGCACCCAGTCCTGGTCATGATCCTGGCAACATTCTCTCATTTGTGGTGGGTGGAGCAGAGCTCCCAAATTTACTGCCCATACATCTCGGGACAAACAGGAGTTAACCCCCAAGCCTGTAGCTTCACCTGTTAACAACTGAGACTTTGCCTGGCTGCAGCTTTAAATAGTCTGCTGCGTATTCCTTCACTCCTTTTAGATGAGGAGAGTTGGGTTACAAGAGCAGAAATAAATAGTAAAATGAGTGTTGGGTGGTTGTGCAGTTTCGTTCTTCCACTCGTCCACGCCACACTTGGTTTCTCAGGACTCTCCTGAGGTAGTAGGGAAAATGCCGAAGGTGAAAGTTCCAGGTAGGTCTAAATTCCCACGTAGCCTTAGGCAAGTTGGGAGGAAGCCTTCTTTTATGATGAGGTCAGTGCCAATAGCCAGACTCTCAAGAATGGATTCACAAAGCAGCTCTGATTGCCTATTTAAGTTATGCAAGGCACAGGAGGTGGAAGGAGTGAGAGCTTGAGCCATTAGCTTTCCCAATATGAGTAGTTTGGATAGACAGTCAGGCAAGTGGCTTTTAGGCCACAGAAGTGAAATTGGATGAGACCAGTCGATTCAGCAGAACCCAGTTTTGCTGTGTTAAAAATTTATCAGAGGTTGGATAAACTTCCACAGGAGCACCCCTAGACATTGGTGTTTGCCAGATAAAAGAGAAATTAGAGGGTTTTCAGTAACCTTTAATGGCTTATCATTAGCAGCAAGGTAATTAAGACATGCACCAGGCTAGTAGTCAAAAGGGGGCTGGATTTAGCTTCTCTTTGTCAGCTCGTAAAAGACCTGAATAAACCCTCCTCGGAACATGTTGCCTTCCAACTCTGTGGTTCTGTGCTGTTACTAGCAGAATAGCAACATGGTCCAAGGAATCTAGAACAAAACTGATTAGATTTATTGCATTTTTTGAAGCAGCAGCAGCAACTATCCACATATTAAATCTAAGCCTTTGATAAGCTTAAAAATTACATAAATAATCCTTTCAACTTTCTCTTATTTTGTTATGCTCCTAAAGGAACATTTCTTACAACAAACAAAATGGGTTTTAAAAGTGTTTTGTCGCTTTTCTCTTTGTCCAATATTTCAAGTTGTTATCAAAGAGTTCAGTTCTCCCCCCCCCCATATTAGTGTACAAAGATGCTTCCCTTTTAAATAAAAATACTGTAATAAATATCCACAGCTCATAATCAAATATTCCTACAATGTCCATGCCACATGAACAGGTAGCCTCAGGTCTGTTGATTTCATTTGACAGAACGCGAATGGTGCAATAGTTTCCCTTTGAGTATGACAGTTATATTTAACAAACAGACCTTGGTTCCAGTTTGTACTTTTGCATGTTTTTTTAAAAGGTGAACTATAGGAAGTTTTGGGGCTGTACCCTTTTACTTCCTTTGAGCAAGCGAGCTGAGAAGATGAATCCTACTGGTAGACATGCTAATAAATTGTCAGGGGAGAATGAAGAGCATTGATGGACCTGTGCTTTGTAATGGTAGAAATGTTGAATAATGCCCATAGGTGCCTACTAAGAAGACCTGGACCACTTTTGTGTTGCAGTTTCAACTGATATATCACACTAACTTTTTTTAAAAACTGTCAGTCTGCACTCCCTTCGGATACAGTGGTATCTTCCATGCTTGGAAACACTCCAGCTAAGGGCTCGTACACACTTCTGCCTGACCTGTGATTTGTAGGCATGGATCTGAGCGTTTTTCCTCTTGCCTCGCTCCAGCCCCAGGGAAAACACACTCTCTAGTGCTAAATTGGAGCAAATGTCAATCTGGAGAAAACCTGAATTGCTGTTTGCTCTGATTGAGCGCTAATGAGTGGTTTTCCCTGGGGGAAAGCAGTGGAACAAAATCTAGTCTAGGCTGATTTTCTCCTTACCAAACAACTGTTCTAAGAAGTACTACATACTAGGTTTTAGGTTTTAGAATATTTGTGTGTGGAAACTACTGGACTAAAGGATTATCTTTTCATATTATTACTTTGGCATATATGGAAGGTGGTAATCAGAGCCATGCCCCAGACCACCATATGTTCACTGTTCAGAGTTACCATTTGCAAAGAGAGTATTACATTTGTAGGCAAATGTTCCAAATCATGCATACAAGAAACTATATACCTTCAGATGTACAAGCACAGAGTCTGTGAAAACAGTATTTTTTGAATACATGGAGTCATTGAGTTCAGGCCCTCACAAGCCCCTTCCATATGCCCACTTGTATCCAAATAAATGCATGGAAAGGGATATTGGTGGTGCCAATCCCAGGTTCTGAGGTAGAATTTAAAAGACTGCATCCGTCATATCAGGATGTCTGGGCAAGTTGTCCCAAATTGCTTTCTTAACTGTTCTTCCTTCCCATTGTAGAGCTGTTCAACTACTATGGTATGTAGAGTATATATTTCTGCAAACATTTGCTCATTAAAAATGTTCGTTTCTGTATATAAATGTGGACAACGGGTTAAAAAAAAACTTTAGGTGCTACATCCTGTGATCTGATTACATTTATTTTATTTCACTCTCAAACAGCAGAGGAGAAACGTGAGTATAACTCGGCCTTCCTTGTGCCGCCTGCTGCTTTGTTAAGCAGTTGATCATATCCAAAAGACAAATGATCACAGCAACTCAGCGACTGTCCGTTTCTCAGCAGTCATTGCCAGGAGCTATTGATGCATCTGGGGTGAGGAAGAAAGCTTGTATGGGGCTTGGAGGAAGGCAGGGTGTCATAACGGGACCTGCATGGGGTGTGCTGTCCTCATGAGTCTGGATGATTCAGCCCTTCATCAATCCTGCCTTTTCAAGGAGCTCAGATACCTTCCTTTGAGTTGCAATACTAGGAAGGAATGCTGGAGCCCAGTTCTCTCCACCAAGTCTTACCTGGGCACCAACTAAAGGCAGGGACACGGGTGGCGCTGTGGTTTAAACCACAGAGCCTAGGACTTGCTGATCAGAAGGTCGGCGGTTCGAATCCCTGCGACAGGGTGAGCTCCTGTTGCTCGGTCCCTGCTCCTGCCAACCTAGCAGTTCGAAAGCACCTCAAAGTGCAAGTAGATAAATAGGTACTGCTCCGGTGGGAAGGTAAACGGCGTTTCCGTGCACTGCTCTGGTTTGCCAGAAGCGGCTTAGTCATGTTGGCCACATGACCCGGAAGCTGTACGCCGGCTCCGTCGGCCAATAAAGCGAGATGAGCGCCGTAACCCCAGAGTCGGCCACGACTGGACCTAATGATCAGGGGTCCCTTTACCTTTACAACTAAAGACACCTAAGCTGGACCCTCAAAAGCACCCTGCTTGCTGGGAAAAGAGGAGCACAAGTGGATGGTCGAAGTTACTTGGTAGTGGACCCACTTTGACTCTTGGGTTATATAGTTGGACTCTAAGGTTCTCTGCTCATTAAGCTCTTGGTATATGACTGCATTTCAACCTAAAAACTGGGCATTAGCACAGATTGCCCTGCTGAGAAATGGCTGTCTTTCTGGGCTGCCTGGCTACCGCTGGGTGCACAGCTGAGCATGAGCCACATTGCCCAGCAACCGCTGTGCGCAAGGGCATTTGCTGGGAACAATGTTGCTTCCCTGTTCTTGTGGAATTGAGATGTGGATCACTGGCTGCTTTGACAACACAAGAGGTCTCTAGGCAGGACTTAGGAGCTCGGAATAGGACGACAACCCCTTATGTCCAACCTTCTAGTCTGGTGTGAGTGTGGACTTCATTCCCTGCTCAATCCCCATGCACATTGTCTGTCTGGAAAGTGGTATTGCATGAACTTGCCATTTGCATGGCCTCTGGCATTCCCATCATGCTACCCTATGCCCTTCCTGCTTATTCCACTTGCATATCTCCTGCTGAACCAGATTACTTCCCTGCTTCCTCAATGTCCACCCTTAAAGCAGTGCTTGCACACACATGCCCTTCTGATAGCCTACGTGTGTGGATGGGTTACAGTGATTGAGATATTAAATTCTTATAGAAAAACATTTTCTCGGCAGCAAAATAGTCACTGATCACCAAAACATTTTACTATATGAATTTAATGTATCCAATAACTAATCCCATTATTGCAAGGATTTCCATTTGGGCAATGGAACTTTCCCTTCTCCTCCTCCCCACCCCTATTTCTTCCCCAGATCTGCTCCAAAGAGTTGGAGAAAACTTCAGAACAGATTTAGGGGATGCTCAAAGAAAGCAAGAGAGGGGAGGTTCTGTTGCACAGTCCAAAGTCCTTGCACTAAGAGAACCACTTCGCTGGGTACCACCCAATATCTCTGTTTTGTTAGTCACTGTAATAAATATATGCTTTTGATAATTAATTGCATCCTTCCAAGATCCAGAGCAATACACACACACACACACACACACACACACACACACACACCCCCTGCAGCCTTTTGTATGATATAGTCGTACCTTGGTTGTCAAACTTAATCTGTTCCGGGAGTCTATTCGACTCCCGAAATGGTTCAAAAACCAAGGCGCAGCTTCCGATTGACTGCAGGAGCTTCCTGCACTCAATTGGAAGCTGCATCAGATGTTCAGCTTCTAAAAAACATTCACAAACCAGAACACTCACTTTTGGGTTTTCAGCATTCAGGAGCCAAAACGTCCGAGTACCAAGGCGTTCGAGAACCAAGGTACGACTGTGCTAAGGCTGCAGTTCTGGGCACACTTACTCGGGCAATGGTGACTTTTACTTGTGAGTAAACATGCATAGAATTGGATGATAAAATTGTAAGTCATAGCCAATGCTGGATTCTCAGCAGAAGTGACTGTCCTGCGAAACACCATAACCTGAAAGGTCTCACACCAACCATACTCAGAAGGACCTGTACAGATCTGTATAACATATCCTTTCATGGGACTGTACCTGCATACACCATCATTGCTGGCTACAATAAGAAACATCATGCATTAATCTCAGGCTGTTTGAAAGATCAGAGCCTGCCTTTTGGAGCTCTGACCCCACAGTTATTTGTGAGCACTCCTTATTGTGCACCTTGAGATCTCTAAGCAGAAACATCTATGACTGTTGCCCTTTCCTGTACAAATTGCTCAGTGGCAGAAGGGTGATATCCAGGCTCTGATTTCCACAAAAATGGGCTAAGAATACAACGAGGAAGCCCAAAACAGGTAAGACACTTCTTTTCTAAGTCACCTGGTTTCACAGTAGCTTGGAATTTAGTTTAGATCCAGTTCAGTCCAAAGCAGGTTGCACCCACTATGGTGATGCCATCTATACTTACTGGCTGGGAAAGCCAAACCTATCAGTCCCAATTCAGCTTCATTCTTATTCTCATTGCCATGACATCATACTCAGTGTAGAGAGGCACAAACATTTCCAGACTATGGAGAAACGCAGACTCCAGCCATCCAGAATCTAGAGCCATGAGTGGATACCAAGAGAAGCTTGTCAGTCTTCGCCTCCATGAAGCATTTATGCACCCCAGCACACCCATGGTTCATCACTGGTGTTTCACCTTTCCTCACTGAAGCCCTGGAATCTCGCTGTAAAAGGTTATCAGTAGAAGTACTAAGAATACTATCTGCTTAAAACCCTGCAGCGACATTGAGTCAAAGTAGACTATGTTGAGGCTGATGGATCAATTGTGTGACACATGATAAGTAAGCTTTCTAAATACTCTGCAGCCCTGTAGCTGCATGCTCCCCTACAACTATCAAGCTGCACCCAGGAATGTGGTGCAGGTAAACATTCAATTTCAGAGCACATGTGACATATTGTTTTAGCCTATCAGTTCCCTGTCATGCGTACAAAGAGAATGCAGGCATGAGGTGGCCTCTGAGTGCACACAAGGCTGGTGTGCTGAGTGACGCAATTGATCCATCCTCCTGCAATGACCAAGAGCTGGCCTGGTGACCTTCTGCTTTCTCCTGACAGAAACGGATGATGCCATGCGCTCCTTCGCAGAGAAGGTCTTTGCCTCAGAGGTGAAGGATGAAGGGGGCCGGCACGAAATCTCTCCCTTTGATGTGGAGGATGTCTGCCCCATATCACATCATGAAATGCAACAGCATATGATCAATGAGGAGGAGAGTTCAAGTGACACTGGGAAAAAGTGAGAGTTCTGTGTATGTGTGCATGCACTGGTGGGGTAATGGGAAATTGGGGCTGAGGAAGGAGGAGCCATGAAAGATTGGATGGGTAACCTAGTAAGGTGTGGCTCAGATAGATCCCGTGCCAGATGTGTGCTGATTACAGTACCTCTGAAGCATCATAATGCAGGCACCAGATACACTTGCACTCACACTAAGGAAAGGTGGCAACGAATGTGAAAAGAGCTGGTTCCTGAACCTTGGAAGACTTGCGTTTATGGGAAACTACAGAGTGTCTAATTCCAGTCGGAGCAGCCACCAGCACAGAGTGCACTGTCTGTACTAGCACCCCTTAATTATCAGAGCAGACCAAGTGTTAAAGTATTTTTAAGATTAGCTTAAAGCGAAACCATTGGCTCACGTAGATTTTCAAAACTGACGTGGATATAAAACGTTCCCCAAGCCACTTGGCTGGAATTGTTGGAAGAGTAGCATTTGCCCTATGTTTCTAGACATTGAACAGTTTTGAGCAGATATATTCTCAACCACATTGCCTCCCTATGGAAGAATGGAGTATTTCCATGTGATAATAAGGATGGCAGATAGGTAGCTGTTCACTACAAGCAAGTGTGAAAGCCATGGTCTTATTTGTCCTTTTGATTTCCATAAGTGTGCCGCTTGTCAATACTACCTGAGCAATGGCACTTTGCTCCTATTCCTCAGTGGCTTACTCTGACCCCATAATTTGTATTCTCTGCTTCCTTGTGGAAATGTCTTTAGATACAGATTACAAATTTGCTGAAGAAGCTAGTCAATTCAGAGAAGGTTCAAAAGCACACCAGAAAGACGCTAGTTCTGAATCTATTTATAGAATGTATAGTTCAGCTTCTTCACAAGTGATCGTTGGGCAGATCACAACAACAACAACAAAAGACAATAAAATGTAATTAAAACATACCACTAACACTTCCTCTCTCCTTTTTCAAAAACCAATTCTTTTTGAATTGGAGGAAGAGATAGATCTTTAGTTGGTGCCACAAAATAGGCATGGTAGGTGCCAGCCAGTCTTCAGGGTGCCATTATTGACAAGGCCTTCCACAATACAGTATATAAAGACATTTGTATATTCCTTTGCTACCCCCCTCCAGGATCATGAAATATCAGCCAAACTTTCAATGTAGGGAAGTGTAGCTATGGGAAGTGTATGGTGAACTGACCATGCAATACAGATGACTGCTGCCAAAGCATAGACAAAACTATATAAAATGAGTTTCCATTTGTGTTGCTTTCCTTTTCTTCATCCCTCCTAGGAAGAAGAGGCTCTTGCGGCTGAAGACCATTGCACTGCTTGTTCCTACTGCAGGAAAGTCTTCAACCAAACTGTCCACCTTAGATGAGGTCATCTCCAGCAGTGCTTCGTATCAAGCCGTTCCCAAATTCCAGCGTGTTCAGATCACGGGCGACTATGCTGCAGGGGTCAGTAGCTGGAGGTGCCAAACCATCTTCTATCATGGATGAGTCTATTCTGCTGCCCCTTCTTCCATTTTGTTAGATGTGGTACTCCCAATACTGACTTTTCAGTTGCAACAATGCAACATTGTGTGTGTGTGGGGGGGTGAGGTAACCCTCCTGTTTTTCAGGGCTTCCCCAATACATTTTCTCCCCCATTCCATGTAAAAATACCTGAGGTTGGCTCTAGTGCAGCAGTTTTCAACCCAGAGTCTTTAGTAGGGGCCCCAAGGCAGTCCATGTGGCTCATGTAGCACTGTCTGCTCTCTGCCCCTCATCATCTACCTCATGAGGCAAATGCCGCATTCTCCTCAACCTTCCTTCAACAACAACAACAACAACAACAACAACAACAACAACAACAACAATAATAATAATATATTTAAAAGTCTGTTCAGGGCTGGTACACACCATAGAGTCATACCTTGGGTTAAATATGCTTCAGGTTGAGCGTTTTCAGGTTACGCTCCACGGCGACCTGGAAGTAACGGAACACATTACTTCCGGGTTTTGCCGCTCGCACATGTGCAGACGCTCAAAATGATGTCACGCGCATGCGCAGAAGCGTCAAATTGCGACCCACGCGCACGCAGACGCACATGGCATTTGCTTCAGGATGCGAACGGGGCTCCGGAATGGATCCTGTTCGCATCCAGAGGTACCACTGTATATTTTAAGCAGCCCTCACCTGTAGTATGTTAAGGGTGCTGGGTTTTGTAGCTCACTGGTAAACTACAGTTCCCAGGTTTCTTTGGGGGTGCTTTAAATGTATAGTGCGTGTGCTAACTGCATGCGGGATTGACAGGGGAAGTAAAATAAAGTGTGTTCAGAGAATTTTAAAAATAGCTCTCTAAAAGAAAAAATTCATGAAGTGGATATAATCAGGCATTGTGCTTACAGAGCACTTGGAAAATGTGGTCCACTCCCCTCCTCCAGCACTGCCTTGAGAAAGAATATCTGCTGGCTTTATGCAGTAGATGGGCAACAAAGGCGCATTTATTGGGCACAAGCCCCGATCACGTAGAAGGCTTGCTGCTCTTTCCAGATCTTCATCCCCCATACCCCCCCCCCTGCAACTAACCTTAGCTGTGTCCTTAGGCTTAGCTGCGTCTGTGTTTTGAGTGGCCTAACGTGAACCTGTTGAGAAATAAATCAAATATGGGGGGATTTGCTGGGTCAAGGGATATTGATGAAATTGAAGTGGGAACATCCTGGTGCTCAAAATAGCTCCAACAGCTGGATCCTGCCATGTCCCTGATCACCTTTCATTGCCAGCCTTGGTGGGTTATTGGAAGACATGGCTGCTGCTGGAATATACGCTGTACTCTCACCTTCACTCGAGCAACCATACTGGGCTCTATCCGACAGACGGCTCCAGGTTTAAGCAAAGTTCTTGCTGTGGCCTCCCTCCTGGGTGGGCTTCCTTTGCAGCATTGCGAAACAGTGGCCGTTCCTTCCTTCCTTCCTTCCTTCCTTCCTTCCTTCCTTCCTTCCTTCCTTCCTTCCTTCCTAATTGTAAGGAGCAGAAAGGTTCCTGTGAATGACAATCTCCCAATGTCGGCCATTTTGTTTTCCTTACCATAGTCCAGGAATTGTGATGGCCCAGAGCATTGTAGGGAAAATAAAATGGCAGGCACCAGCTAAATGGCAGCCACCAGAGCTCAACGAGGACAGGCAACTGTCAGTGCAATTGGCCCTGCCAAGGACATGGGAGCTGCAATAGCTGCCATGTGCTGACGCTGGGCCTGCTTCATTCTCATTGCTATTGTTATCCCCACCACCACCTCCAACCAGGCATGCTGGGAGACGACTCTTTATCTCACAGTGCAAGAGTAGGGAACTTTAGGCCCATGGGCCAAATGTGTCCCCCATGCCTCTCCATCTGGTCCTTGGGATTCTCCACAGGCCGCTCCCTCCCCCTACCAGCCACATTATCTGTCCTCAGGCTACAGCCTCTGCCAGTTTTGCCTCACACCTTCCATGAGCGTTTTGGTTTTTGCATGATTTGAACTCTGAGAATCCCCTTTCCTTGCCTGCTGTATTATTTGTATCGTTTATTATTCCTATGACAGACCCTCCAAGTGTCCCTATTTTCCAGGGACAGTCCCAGATTTACAGAAGCCATCCTGGTTTCTGATTTGATCCTACAATGTCCCACTTTTCCTTAGGCTGTCCCTATTTTCATTGGAGAAATGTCAGAGGGTTTGGATTAGGGCATCCCTATTTTCCTCAGAGAAATGTCAGAGGGTATGGAATAGGATATCTCCATTTTCATTGGAGAAATGTTGAAGGGGAAGTCTCTATTTTCATCAGAGAAATGTTGGAAGGTATGGAATAGGGCTAAAGTGCCCTTTTGTGGTTTTCAGCACACCTGGGTTTTTCCCCCTTTTGTTTTGTAATTTCTGTCTTTTTTTTATCAGTGCCAGAAGTTTTAACAAATATTTCCACAGGTGACAGTGGAGGATTTTGAAGTGGTCTGCAGAGGCCTGTACCGTGCCCTGTGTATCCGGGAGAAGTATATGCACAAATCTTTCCAGCGTTTCCCCAAGACTCCCTCCCAGTTCTTGCGCACTATTGAAAGTGAGGTGTGGAAGCCAAATGACGACCTGCTTCCAGGTAAGTACCCAGGCAGGCTGTGCAGGCTGTACTGGGTGACTGGGCTTGTGGGTGTGCCCCAGAGCAAGACAGCAGGTGTCAGGGTGGGGGTGGGGTGGGATGGAGGGCACTGTGGAGAATTGCATTAGCCGCTTTAATCTTTTTTTAAAAAAACAACACCACCACACTCCTGTCTGTGCAGAGCTGGTGTGCTGAGCATGCAGAACACTTACGAACATAGGGAGCTGCCTTAGACTGTTGGTCCATCTGGTTCAGTATTGTTTACACTGACTGGCAGCAGCAATCCAGGGTTTCAGACAGGAGTCTCCTTCAGCCCTTCCTGGAGATGGCCAGGGGTTGAACCTGGGATCTACTGCCTTCTATTCAGATGCTCTACCACTGAGCTATGGGCCTTCCTTACTTAGAAGTAAGAGCACAGTGAGAGCAGCTTTCTGCCGAGGCCAGTGAGAGCCAGGCCTTTGCAAAGACTTGAGGAGAGGAGCTTCCCAGATGGAGTTGTAGAGGTTTGGCACACCCCCCTCCACCTTGGCTCACAGTCTTATCTGAGCAAGTATCTTTTTTGGATTTACTATGAATACTGTCAGGTAGTCAGTGAATCTGAATGACATGTAGCCTTGGCCTTAGGGCTGTATTTCTTGTGCTGGACCTCTTTCCAGTGTGCAATATCATGCCATATTTTGGCTTAGCTTTGGTGACTCACCCAGTCTACCATTTTCAATCTCACCCCCCTGTTTTCCCATGTTACAAAGAACAGCCTGGCCTAAGTGGAGTTCTCATGCTTCTATCACACAGGCTTGTTCATAACAGGTAGGAATATAGGAAATTCCCTTTTGCCACATCATCTAGCCTGCTGTTGTCTACTGTGACTGGCAGAGGCTTTCCAAAAGACATCTTAGCTAGGGTTCCTTCATACCATCCTCCATCTGATCCTTTTTTTAACTGGAGAGGGCTAGAATAGAGCAAGAAACCTATTGCATGAAAAACATGTGCAAAGGGGTATTTTTCTTAGTCTGTACCTGAATCAGACTTTAATTCTCTGGTCTAAACTTCCATTATACCATCTACATACAAGAGGAAAAGGGGCCTGTGAATCAAACGAGGATATGATGTAAAGCAGGGATAGCCGACAGGTACCCTTGGGATGCTGTTGGACTCCAACTCCCATCAGCCCTAGCTAGCATGGCCAGTGGTCAGGGGTGGTGGGAGCTGTAGTCCAGCAGTAAATGAAAGGCGCTGTGTTGGCTAGCCCTGGTGTGAGGTATGAAAAGCCTAGGCACCCGTTATCTTAGGGCTAGAGCACTGACCGTGCTGCTTCTCCTTCTGCCTTTGAGGCGGAGGCAGGACTTTCACATTTCTGGGAATGCTTTTCACTACACACTCAAAACAAAAGATATGTGCAATTACTAAAACACACCTAAGCTTGTTATTAGTCACGCAGAATAAATTGGATTTTAGGATTGTGCTACAAGAGGCGCCATCTTGTTAAAGGATACTCGTGCAGTCAGGAGCCAAAATTAGCTAAAACAAAGACAGAAATTGTAGCAAAAGCATCTGCATGCAGGGGATGGATAGTGGTGGCGTTCTCTCATGGGGATTTCAGCCAGTCTCAGTCCTGGCAGTCATGTGGTTTCCTTAGCGGTGTAGAATTTAATTCTTGTAGGTTGACAGCTGTAAGAGAAGCATGCTAAAAACCCCAAGCCTTTTCCTTTGTCCTTCCCTTGTTCAACGTTAGTGCACTTTCCTCTTGATTTTAGTGTTCTCTCCCCCTGTGAAGAAAGACGAAGATCCCTTCCAGTCTGGCAACTTGCCTGAGAATCTGCGCTACCATGTGGAAATGAAAGAAGGTGTGGTGTACATCTATGCTGACAAAGCTGCTGCTGCCAGGGGTGAGCCCAAGGACCTGCCCTACCCTAACCTGGATGTCTTCATTGATGACATGAACTTCCTGCTGGCCCTTATAGCTCAGGGACCTGTGTAAGTGTCTTGGAGGTATGGCCCCTTCGCGCATAAGCAGGGCCAGCCCAAGAGATTATTGAAGCCTCAAGCAGAAAAGCCAAAGGGCGCCCAGCCTGCAATGAAAAATGTAACAGTGAGCTAACAACCAATGTGCTTCCTTTTATTGATGCCCAGGGTTTGCTGCCTAAGGTGGCTGCTCCTGACCTGGGTTTGCCCTGAATAGGAAAAGGGCAAAAGTCTAGCCACCCCAAGGCAGCACACATATATCCCTGTTGCAATGACTTCTGCTGTCTCGGGTCACTTGCTCTGGAATGTGACCTTTATCAAGCTGTCGTGTGACAGCAGCAGGGTTACTTCTGGCTGGCAAATGTTGGTTGCGTTGGCAAGCTGGTGAACCTGGGCTCGGTCTCTTATTCTGCGAGTGGCTTATTTGAGACGATGCTCTTTCCTTTGACTGTTGCAGCAAAACCTACACACACCGACGCCTTCGGTTCCTCTCCTCCAAGTTCAGTGTGCATGAGATGCTGAATGAGATGGAAGAGCTGAAGGAGCTGAAGAACAACCCCCATCGGGACTTCTATAATTGCCGTAAGGTGAGGGATCTGTCCAAGGTGTTGCCTCCTCAAGTAGGAGTGGCTGATCTTTGTCACCCTCTGGGGCTGCAGATCAAAGTGGGTGTGGCCAAAGTGTAGGTGTGGGTGTGGCCAATATTTTTTAAAGGGCAAATTTTGCTGGATCATAAAAATTACAGCAAAGGATATTTATTTTATTATGTGAACTGCCCTGAGACCTCCGGGTATAGGGCGGTATATAAATTCATTTAATAATAATAATAATAATAATAATAATAATAATAAGCAAAAATGGTCAGTATCTTTTTTTAATTTAATTTTTTTTAAATGTATATTCATAATGGATGGATTTGGGGGTTTGGGGGATCAACAAAACCTTTTGGACCCAGTGCTACCAGAGGAGAAGTAGTCAGTAAACATATTTTTAAATATTATTATTTTAATTTACAAGATTTGGGGGGGCCTTGGATGGCCACAAAAACCCCACACACATGTGGCACCGTAATATTACCATAATATCACATTCTGGCCTCCCCTGCAAAACTAGTGGGAGTGCATTAAGAGCTACAAAAAAGTCTGGTGTCACAGTGGAAGGCCAATAGGGGCAGTAAATAAAAATAAAATACAGCATTTAACTATTATTTTTTTAAGGAAAATGGGAGAGGGTTGTGGGGGATGAATGAGATCTGCAAGTTGTGGGTTAGGTACCCTGGCCTTAAGGTACAATGATGTACCTCAGCTGGCTAATATTATTGCTGGCGTGGGTTCTGTGGGAGGGAGGCATCTGCCTCCTAGGCTGACCTTTCTCTTCTCTTAACAGATTGACACGCACATCCATGCTGCAGCTTGCATGAACCAGAAGCACTTGCTGCGATTCATTAAGAAGTCTTACCGGGAAAATTCTGAAAGGGTTGTGTACAAATCCAAGGACAAGACCTTGACGCTCAAGCAGCTTTTTGAGCAGCTCAACCTTCACCCTTATGACCTGACTGTGGACTCCCTTGATGTCCACGCAGTGAGTCCTGCTTTTCCTTTCCAGTACAGGAGATCTCCCACCCTTCTGCATGGTCTCTGTCATATGACTGGCTGTGGCTAATTACTCCCCCCCCAGCTGTTGCTGCCCCGCCATCTCTACCTCCTACAAGTATTCTTTGCTCTGTGCATCTAGCCAATGACTTCTCCTCCTCCTCCTCCATGTCACAGGGCCGGCAGACCTTCCAGCGCTTTGACAAGTTCAATGCCAAGTATAACCCGGTGGGTGCCAGTGAGCTGCGTGATCTCTACCTCAAGTCTGAAAATGCCATCAATGGTGAATACTTTGCCACCATCATCAAGGTTAGAGACTATGGTATGCAAGGGTTTGTGTCTGTGCGGCTGGTAGACTGAGGATAAGGCCAGTTCCTGGAAGCAGATCAGGTAATCCCTTTCCCTTTTTATTTCACAGGAGGTTGGCTCTGACCTGGAGGATGCCAAGTACCAGTACGCAGAGCCACGGCTCTCCATCTATGGGCGTTCACCGGAAGAGTGGCCAAAATTAGCCAGCTGGTTCAACGCACACCGTGTTTATTCACCCAATATGAAGTGGATGATCCAAGTGCCCAGAATCTAGTAAGTACTGGTGGGGGCAAAGTTTGATCAGGTCAGAAGTGCCAAATTCCATGTATAGATCTGATTAATCCAGATTCCTCCTCTTTCACTAATTATGGGCCCCTCCATGCACCCTACCCCTTCAGTACTTCCCCTCTCTCCCCTATCTCCTGGCCTGAAAGTGAAGGTTTCTCTTCCTTTTCATGCCTGTTTCCTAGTGTGTTGCCTATGGTCTTGGGCAGGTGCAGTGGAGTGGGATAATATTGGATCCTTCAAGGGGACTGAACTCAGGGGAAGCTATCTACAAGGATTCTGGCTCAAGTCTGCAGACTTATGACCACTAGTCTCAGGTTCAGTAGCAGGAGCCTGGCTCAGTTCCTTACCTGGTAGTATCATAGCCCTGAATCTGGCTGGCTCTTCTTCCTCTGACTCTGATTGAGCTCAAGGCCAGGGCCATGACACTATCTGGATTTTCTTTGGTTTCCTTTGGGTTCTATGGGGCAAAGCAAAATGAGCAGGAAGCTGGGACACAGCTGGGACAAAGTATGTGCTTCAGGACTGAGTTCACTTGCTTCATCTCAGTTGCTTCTGCCATTTGCAGCCCGCTTACATTTTCCTTTCTCTCAAACGTCCCACGTAAGTGATATGGAAACGAGCAGAAGTGTTTCTGTCTCCTCTCAGTGATGTGTTCAGGTCAAAGAACTTTTTGCCACACTTTGGGAAGATGCTGGAGAACATTTTTGTGCCAATATTTCAGGCGACAATCAACCCACAGGACAACAAGGAGCTGAGTGTGTTTCTGCGCCATGTGAGTACTGTTGCCCAGAGGCACCTTGGGCCTAATCCTAGGTAGTGACAGGCTTTGCTCTTTGAAAGTAGGTGACAGAGAGAGTGGCCAATACAGCACCAGAAACCCGAGGGTGTATCTAAGTCAGCATATTGTCAACCAGATCTGGCCAAGGGTCCACCTCACTGAAGGTGATGCCTGGTAGATACTACATAAGAAATGACAACACCTAACCACTACTGGATTCCAGTCTTCCAGCTTCAACAAGGTAGCACCTTGGACAGAGGTGGCCACTCTGTCCCCCTGCAGCAGAGGGTGACTGTTGGGTGATGGGAATTAGAGGTTATCGGCTTCATGTTATTTGGTGAAGGTGGACTTGCTTTTGGAGTTGGTCCCTTCCTCAGAACCAATTGTACGATTTGCAGATTACTGGTTTTGACAGTGTGGATGATGAGTCCAAGCACAGTGGACACATGTTCAGCACCAAGAGCCCCAAGCCGGAGGAGTGGTCCCATGAGAAGAACCCCTCCTATACATACTATGTGTACTACATGTATGCCAACATCATGGTCCTCAATCATCTCCGACGGTGAGTCCCAGCCTGGGCAGAAGGATTATTGCCAGGTGAAAGGCTTCGATTACAAATAACCTGCACCAGTTTAGTACAGCGTTTCTCAAACTTGGGTCCCCAGCTGTTGCTGGATTACAGCTCCCTTCATCCTTAACTACTGGTCCTGTTAGTCAGGGATGATGGGTATTATAGTACAACAACAAGTTTGAGGAAACACTGCTTTAGCAGGAGTAACACTCCTAGTTCTGCTGGTTCTGATAAGACCACCCACTAACCCTGACTAAAGCATATTGCATTTCAAGAGCTTGACGGCATCAATCCTTCACCTTCATTGATCCAAAAGCCCTAAGAGGCACAGTTCCAGGTTCTGCTAGACTTAAATGCTTGGATTCTAACCTGCCTTCTGTAAATGAAACAGAATTCACATCTGCATAAAAGAGGTTTGCCGCCTCTTCTCTCCCTCTGCAGCCTCCTGCATTTCCCCAAAATCTGCTCTTGGGGATTGGGGGGCCCTTAGGAATGGTGCAGTAGGGAGCTCAAGATGAAAGGGGGAGCTGGTGAAAGCCACTCCTCCTTTATGTGAACTGAGGACTAAGTAAGGATCCAATATAGTGTTGGCAAAAGTAATGACTTCATATAATAAGACCAGGACTGCTGAAATAACCTCTCTCAGATATTTATATATATTTTTCCTTTGCTAGTTTGAGAGTGGGTTTTATACACCATAATAATATTGTCTAAGCCTTCTATTAAAAGAGCTAATGAGACTCTGGGACCTAACTAAATATTATCTGCAGACAACTGCGATGAAACAAGACAGGTGCTTTTATAAAGAAGAGAAAAATGCTTTAAGAAAGATCTATTTAATACAGAGAAGCAGTGAAGGATCACTTAATCCTTTCTCTTCTTGCTGCTTCTCTCAACCAAACTGCACCCCCAATTTATCCCCCTGCCCTGCATGAGTTTCAAACATGTATTAACTTTGTGGGCAGAAAAGCAACTGGATTTGTGTGGCTGTGGAGCAGAGAAGTTACAGTACACTCATCTGCATGTTAGCATGGATTTTTATCATTCACCAATGCAAAGCACAAAAGTGAAGTCCCTGCTGCTTGCTAATCCCAGTATTACACCAGCATGTTTGGTCCCTTCAAGTCGGAAACTGTCTGGGGCCATCTGATGGTTGCTTCCTAAATAATGCTAGAAGTGTCCACTGATCTGGGTTTTGCATAAAGGCTGCCTTGCCACCCTCAGGGAACGCGGAATGAACACTTTTCTGTTTCGTCCTCACTGTGGAGAAGCTGGTGCTATCACCCACCTGCTGGCTGCCTTCATGACTGCAGATAATATCTCCCATGGTCTGAACCTCAAGAAGGTGAGTTGCAAGATGTGCTGGGCTGTGGAGAGAAGATCCCCAGGTGTCCTTTCATGCTCATGTTGATCTATCCTTGCCATGTCTCTTTGCAGAGTCCTGTGCTGCAGTATCTGTACTACCTGGCCCAGATCCCCATTGCCATGTCCCCACTCAGCAACAACAGCCTCTTCCTAGAATATGCCAAGAACCCACTTCTTGATTTCCACCAGAAGGGCTTAATGGTGTCTCTATCCACTGATGACCCTATGCAGTTCCACTACACCAAGGTAGGCAGCTGGATCCTTTCCTAGGACTGCTGTTTGCTCTCAGAAGTGTGAGGGCAGCTAGCGTTCAGGGGATTATTGCAGCTTCTGCGATAACCTTTGCAATGGCTACACTTTGTATTTCACTTTTTATTCCCCAGGAGCCTCTCATGGAAGAATATGCCATTGCTGCCCAGGTCTTCAAGCTCAGCACCTGTGACATGTGTGAGATTGCGCGCTACAGTGTTCTGCAATCTGGCTTGTCTCATGAGGTATGGTGTTCAATGGAAATCTCAAAGGGGTATAGAGTGCTCCCTGATATAGGTGATTTAGCAGACCAAATCACTGCTGTTCTGCTTTAAGCTCCAAGTGGAATAACAATTATGGTTCTAGACTTCTAACAATCTGTAGCCAAATGATCAGTACCCCTTTCCTCAGCTGCCATTTTGGGAAGGGAGGTTCATTTGGAAATTTTGGGGGGTGGGGTGGGAATAGTGCTAAATACTGCCTACTCACTGCATCTAGTATGGTTCCTCACTGCAATGGTCTCCCCACTGCAATCTAGGGGTGGGGGAAAGGGGGGGAAAAGAAAGACCATGCTATTTGGAAAAGGAAGCGTTGAAGTAATATAGCCAATTCCTAAAGATGGAAATGGCTAGTTCAAATTCTGTAAAATATCTAGGCCATCTACACCAGGGAAGACTGTGGAGATTTTTCACTGAATTTTCTGACTCTGGGGAGAGGAAAAAAGTGAAACAGTGGAACATGACAGATTGATGTTTTATCTTACAGATGCTTTGTCAAAACTGAGTGAACTAAGTGTGGCTATTCCACAGTATGTACCCTGTGGCTGTGTGGAAGTAGATCATCGCCTCAGGGCTTAGTGACTGGGAATATAAGAAGGGTTGAGCAAACAAAAGAGGGTACATGAAAGCAATGGAAGCAATAATAGGGTTTTCTTTTTATGGAAAAGGTGATGGGAATGGGAGTCTGAGTGAGGGGGTGGCTCTCATTTACTGTATCATTTCCATAGGAAAAGCTCCATATTCTGGGAAAGAATTACCAAGAAGAGGGGCCACAGGGCAATGACATCTGCAAGACCAACGTGGCTCAGATCCGCATGGCCTACCGCTATGAGACATGGTGCTATGAGCTCGATCTTATAGCCGAAGGGCTGAAAAGTACTGAATAGAACCATATAGCAGGCTTGAGTAATGAAATCAGCAGTGCCATTCAACGCCAGGCAACTGTAGAGATGGAGAGTGAGGGATTATTGGCCCCAACACTGTTGTTTCAAATTACATACAGTCTAAAAGAAATTACGTGCAGTGTGTTTACTAAACTCTTTGCACTCCTTCATTCTGCGAGCAAGGTGCAGTTTGCCCTGCATCCTGGGTATCTCTTGCCATGAATACCACAAAGATATTTATGTGAAAAGGAATCCAGGAGCCCCTGTTTCCTGGTGTGAACTGTTGTCTTTTATTTCAGTGCTTTCTAAAAAAAAAAAAAGTAGGAACATAGGGTTAAAGTGATCCACACAGCCCCTTGACAATTATGGAGGCAGGCAACACTGCAGGCACATTAAACAAGTCATTGTCTCACTGCCACAAGCCATTTAAAGGGCAAAAGGAGGCCATGTCCACAAAGAAAATGACTGGATTTTGTAGTGCAGCAGGCACACTCTGGTCTGTATGAGGGACCTCCAGAGGCTTGATAAGGGCCTTAACTTTGATGCCTCTGATGAGGTAAAAATTCACTGGTGTTGACCCATGCAATAGCACAGACTGTCTCATACTTCAGCTGGACTACAGAGCACCCTGTACAGTGGTATCTCTGGTTACATACGCTTCAGGTTACATACGCTTCCGGTTACAGACTCCACCAACCCAGAAATAGTACCTGAGGTTAAGAACTTTGCTTCAGGATGAGAACAGTTTCAGGTTAAGAACGGACCTCCAGAATGAATTAAGTACTTAACCCGAGGTACCACTGTACTTTGTATAGGACAGCAGATACGCTTACATGTTCCACCAACCTCTGTCTCCCTTCCTGGGGCAGAATGCTTATTAAATAATTTCAGGATGATCAGCTGATCCCTGCAGATCACCTGGGTGGATGGGGGTTATCCATTCTCAGCAGATAGGTGACTGAGTAGAGATTTGCATCCCTGTTGTGTTACTGAGCTGGGAAGAGAGGTTTAAAGTTCTTAGCCTGGCCCAGCACCCTGATGAGGATGCAAATCTTTTCCTCCCTGCTCATCAGATTAGTTATCTGGTGTGTGATTTGTAGCTCAGCTCCGCCATGGAGAGGCACACTGCATTTTTTCTACTCTTGTAGCAGAGGCTTAAGCAGGTCAGTTTCTGTTTCACTCTACCCCACCAGACTTTCCCTTTCCCCTCTTGGCTGACACTCAATATTATGTGGCTTCTGGACAGAGGCAGCCCACCCAAAAGGCAGGGTGAAGCATCTGCTTCAGGCAGTAGAAATGTAAGAGGTGGTGTTCTACCTGCCACACTGCTTCCACTGCTATGAGGGGAGCATTACAATGTGCCATCGGGGAGAAGCTGAGGGCCAAGGCTTGAGGAGTGCCCCGACTCCTGCCAGGTTCGGTGGGAGCCAGGGCATGGTGGTAGCAGACATCAGGGTGGGGACACAGTGGGAGGAAGAACAATTCCTGTTTCACCTTATGTGCCGAAATGGGGTGGGCCGCCCCACCCCCGAACAGCCTCTGTCCTCACCAAGCTATCTTGTTTTTAGTTTTTAAATGTTTTGCACCTTTCATTATCCTCATCTGTTTATTTATTTGTATGCCACTTCCCCATAAGACTGCGCTCAGAGTGCCTCACAACATCAAATGTACAGTATAACAATTCAAGACATTAGAAACAATTATATTGATAAGTACAGAAAAGCAATCCATACAACGTTGTGTAAAACAATACAAATAATCTATAACCTAATTCAACAGTTTAAACTAAGCAGCGTTGCATAAAAAGGTAAAGGTACCCCTGCCCGTACGGGCCAGTCTTGCCAGACTCTAGGGTTGTGCGCCCATCTCACTCAAGAGGCCGGGGGCCAGCGCTGTCCGGAGACACTTCCGGGTCACGTGGCCAGCGTGACATCGCTACTCTGGCGAGCCAGAGCCGCACACGGAAACGCCGTTTACCTTCCCGCTTGTAAGCGGTCCCTATTTATCTACTTGCACTTTGAAGTGCTTTCGAACTGCTAGGTTGGCAGGCGCTGGGACCCAATGACGGGAGCGCACCCCGCCGCAGGGATTCGAACCGCCGACCTTTCGATCGGCAAGCCCTAGGCGCTGAGGCTTTAACCCACAGCGCCACCTGCGTCCCATTATCCTCATTATCCTCATCTGTTTATTTATTTGTATGCCACTTCCCCATAAGACTGCGCTCAGAGTGCCTCACAACATCAAATGTACAGTATAACAATTCAAGACATTAGAAACAATTATATTGATAAGTACAGAAAAGCAATCCATACAACGTTGTGTAAAACAATACAAATAATCTATAACCTAATTCAACAGTTTAAACTAAGCAGCGTTGCATAGAACAGGACAAATTCACTGAATTGAAACTAAACAGAAGAGAAAATGACAACAGTACAAAAATAGCATGGCATAGTGGTTAGAGTGTCCGACTAGGATCTGGGAGAGCAGGGTTCAAATCCCAACTCAGGCATGAAGCTTGCTGGGTGACCTTGGGCCAGTCACTGCCTCTGAGCCTAACCTACCTCACAGGGTTGTTGTGAGGCTTGAATAAGGACGGGAAGAACCATGTACACTACCTTGAGCTTCATAGAGGAAAAGGTGAGAGATAAATGCAAATAATAATAATAACATATTTCTGTTTTGTACTTCTGCACACCCGAGCTTGCTGTGTCACAGGGCCTCCATTTTGACTGCTGTCCTCTTGGCACTCAACCACCTGAGCTCAGTATTAGTAGGGAACATACGAAGTGCTGTACAGTGGTACCTCGGGTTACATACGCTTCAGGTTACAGACTCCGCTAACCCAGAAATATTACCTTGGGTTAAGAACTTTGCTTCAGGATGAGAACAGAAATTGTGCTCCGGCGGCGCAGCAGCAGCAGCAGCAGCAGCAGCAGGCCCCATTAGCTAAAGTGGTGCTTCAGGTTAAGAACAGTTTCAGGTTAAGAACAGACCTCCGGAACGAATTAAGTACTTAACCCAGGGTACCACTGTATTGCATTTTCCCAGGTACCAAGCACCTTGAGTGGAAATGTGTAACAAAGTGCTTTTTCGAACTGGTAAAAACTAATTGTGAATGTGCAGAAAAGCCCATGGTATGTTTCAGCTGTGATCAGATTGTAAAATCATTTCTGACAGCTGCTCTTGTCTCTCTGAACTGTCATCACCACACAAAGTACCTGTTGCTCCAGATTCCTTTGTCTATATTCAGAGTTCTCATAATAGAAAGTTGCTCTCATAATATAAAAGTTGAAGGAAAATGGGAGGGAAACTTGAAACATCAGTTATATAATTTATAGTCGTCTTAGGCTTCTGAATTGACGTGGGAAATAAGTGAGGACCAGTGTGGTGGTGTGATTCAAGTGTCTGCCTGGAATCTGGGAGACCAGGATTCAAATCCCTGCTCAGCTACAAAGCTCCTTGAGTGACCTTGAGCCCGTCACTGCCTTTCAGTCTAGCCTACCTCACAGGGTTATTGTGAGGATAAAATGGGGAGGGGAAAATTCAGAAAACACAAACAGGATGTGAGGCCAAATGGCAGTGAAATCCCTGGAGTACACATAGCACAGATTCTGCTTCTTTCATTTCATGGCTATGTTGCTTTGCAGTTTCGAATTTTCTCTATACCTGGGCGTGCATACATGTGTGTCTGCACACACATATATTCATCATGCCACTGATCTAATCCATGATATATTTTGTTGCTGTTGCAGCTATCAGCTACCTTAAAGGTAAAGGTACCCCTGCCCGTACGGGCCAGTCGTGTCCGACTCTAGGGTTGTGCGCCCATCTCACTTAAGAGGCCGGGGGCCAGCGCTGTCCGGAGACACTTCCAGGTCACGTGGCCAGCGTGACGAAGCTGCTCTGGCGAGCCAGCACCAGCGCAGCACACAGAAACACCGTTTACCTTCCCACTATAAAGCGGTACCTATTTATCTACTTGCACTTAGGGGTGCTTTCGAACTGCTAGGTGGGCAGGAGCTTGGACCGAATGACGGGAGCTCACCCCTCTGCGGGGATTCGAACCGCCGACCATACGATCGGCAAGTCCTAGGCACTGAGGTTTTACCCACAGCGCCACCCGCGTCCCATCAGCTACCTTACTGGCTGATATTTCATAGTTACACATTGCCACCTGCTGACTGCTGCTGCAGTAACTCATACAGAAGACTTGAATTCACTTCTTTGCTGAGAAGGTTGGATGGTTCTGAGGGCTCAAAAGGGGCCAAAATTAACACCAATGTCTCAACAAATGAAACTGATCTGTAGAAAATGTAACTTGAAAAAAGAGACATTGCACATACTTTTGTAAACCAGGAAATATTTAATAAAAATACATTTTAAAAAAAGAGGGGCCAAAATTCAAGACTATTCCACATATAGTGGGTGATTAGTGCTAATGAGTGGCAAAACAGGAAGACCTCAGAAGTTTGAAAGCTTGAAAGGATAAGTGTCCTACCTTCTGGCAGCAACGTTTAGCTTTTGTTTTTGAAGCATGGTCATAATAAGCCGCCCTGTATAATTAAACAAAATCCTGTTTGGGCCTCCCAAACCAAAGCCCAAACAATTCTACTACTAAAGAGATCAAAGGCAGAGGCTTCAAAATCGTCCCCTGGTAGCCCTACAAGTTCTTGAAGACAGCAGAGATCCACAAGTAGGGACGCACAAATGCAGCTCCCCAGATATGCAATATGACATACAGTACTAAGGACTTGACTCCCCCTTCATTTTTGTACAAACAGCACTGCTTTACGTTCTATTGGGAGTTGGAACCTTGGGACCCAGAGTGGCACCAAAAGTAGGAGGTTGCAGTACTGGCACTAGTCAAGTTGACTGTAATTTATTTTAATTGATTTTAGTGTTGTATTTTGAAATGGTGGTGACTCACCCTGGGTCCTTATGGTGAAGGGCAGGTGAGAAATCAAACAAATCACCACCACCACAACCACTTCAAGTCTGAGTCACACATCCAATTCACACTTCGCTGTTTGGATAGTGACAAATTAGCAGGCCACCTCCCAGCTTAATGAAAAGAAACCAAAACTGCTCTAGAAATCACAATGCTGGCAGAACATCTGCACTTAGGCTGTAGAAGCAAGAAGTCCGAAACCACAGAGTATCTCATCGTTTATTTTGGGTTGGTTCCCCCCTCCCCCCGTAGGTGAAAACCTAATTTGTCTGATAAAAGAGGAGTCTGAAGACATAGGCTGTTGCCTAAGAAAACTCATGCCACACAAACAAGCAACACCCCCAAATAGTTTCTAAAGTGTAACCCACTTTTCTTCCTCAAATTTAGTTAGGTCAGGAAGGGTAATAGACCTCTCCTGGTGCTGGAGCGGCCTCAACCGGCCAGCCTTTCTGAGTCATGCTTTTGCAAAACAATGTTTTTTTGAGACTAGCCCATGGCTCCAGAGAACCCTGCTAGCTAGTCATGTGTTTTGCATTACACTGTGACATCTCACACCATTGCTCTAAACCAATGGTTCCCAATTAGCTAATTACTGAGGACACCCTATTTTTCAAAAGCCAAGCCACAGACTCCCTACTTTTGAAAATTTAGATAACTCTATGGTAAGTTACCTGGGCAAAGCAATTTTTTGAAGAAAATGTGAGGTAGCCCCTAATAAGCAAAGGATTTTAGTATACTCTAAAAAACAGACCATAAAATTTGTGATATTACCACAAATTGCCTATCCCCAGACAGCAGGAAAAACTTGTCTCTATTGCTCCACGACAACTGAATAAAAGAAAAGCAATTGTGTCCCTAACTTGCAAGTGTTCTGTATGCTGAAGGCTTTCTATATGAGAGTATAATAATAACAATAATTTATTAATTATACCCCGCCCATTTGGCTGGGTTTCCGCAGCCACTCTGGGGATTTCAATAGTATTCAAACATGCTATTCCTAACTTGTAATCTGAGATGCAAAATTTTGCAGCATATGGTTCTGCTAACTATGGGATCTTGCACTTCAAGACATAGGTGAAGGCTTGATCAGGGCTTGATAAAGTATTGGTGAAGACTGAGTAGAAAACAGCTGGAATTTTGTGATGTTGGTAATAGTAGTAGTAGGAGAAGTAATAATAATAATAATAATAATAATAATAATAATAATAATAATAAAGTTATTTGTTTATTTAGTCCTCCTGTGCCCAAGTTTTATCCCTGGCTTAAAGAGATTAATTAGTTAAATACAGTACTGTACATATTTGGAGTGAGGTTTTTATTCTTGCTGTTTACCCAATAGGAACAACCAACTTTTTAATTTATTAGGATTCTGCCGTACATCTGTTTCCTTCCACCCCCAAATGTAGCCACATATCTTTCCACAAAAAACAAGAAAACTGGTATTTAGCTGCTGATATATCACGGTGTTGAAAAGAAAGTATTGCCCATCCCTAGCACTAAACTATATCATCAGATGGTGAGCTGTTGTGCTAATCATAGTGGCAATTTGCTAAGCTAATTCCTGTGTTGGACTTCCAAGATGAGTCACGAATCCCAAATTCATAAGGCAAGATTCACTAAAAACCCTACCTACAAGCAGTGGGAGGGTCCTCAAAGCTTGATAGCTGTTGAAAGAAATTGGAAGTTACAGTGGTACCTCGGGTTAAGTACTTAATTCGTTCTGGAGGTCCATTCTTAACCTGAAACTCTTCTTAACCTGAAGTACCACTTTAGCTAATGGGGCCTCCTGCTGCCGCCGTGCCGCCGGAGCACGATTTCTGTTCTCATCCTGAAGCAAAGTTCTTAACCTGAAGCACTATTTCTGGGTTAGCGGAGTCTGTTACCTGAAGCGTATGTAACCTGAAGCGTATGTAACCCGGGGTACCACTGTATTTTCAGTTAAAAAGTAGAGAGCAAGGGGAAGGAACCCCTTACATTTTTAAAAATAAGCATGTGAGCTCTTTTCCCCCTCTCCCTTCCAGTCACAAGAGCCTTAAGAAACTGTGTCAGAGGTTTGTGTCCAATCTCAGTTCACTTGCCAACCAGCAATTCTTTCACTAAGTTTTTCCCCTGCCAGCAAGTAGTTGCTGGTTGTCAGCTGGATGATCTGTGGAAAGCTTTCATGGTGCAGTTAACAAGATAAGTGAGTCCCTATCAGGGGATGGTGCTGCAGACAGGGTGTGTTCCTTGGACCCCTAATTGGGAACCACTTTTTTAAACAATAACCGTGTGTTATTACAACGGCTTGCTGCCATTTGCTTCTAATTGGTTTTCCCATTTGCTGACTGGAGCACTGGGTGAAATGGGCCTCTCTGCCTTTCCTGAGCCCTCTATCCTGCCTGATGGATTCTCCCATGGGAACAAGAGGGAGCATGGAAAGCCTAGCAGAGCCTACCTGTCTCACAGCTACACATCCCAGGGTGGGTCACGTGAGCTTAACTGGCTGGTGCCTGTCGGTGGGCATAGTGCCACTACAGCACCTGAGGATGAGTGTGCAGTGGGTGAGTCTGCAGGGCGTTTTGCTTGTGGGTGTGTGGAACAAGATTCCAGGTGGTGTCAGTGGAAGCATTGCTCAGATAATTTCAGCTTTGGCAACAAACGAAAAGTTTCTTCCTGGAAGTGCAGACATTGCGTGAGTGCATCCCGAGCAAGATATTCTAGGGAGCCATCATAATGTACATATTTTAATTGTTTTATATCCGTACTATTTATTGTGCTTAACTTTAACCTATATAGATTTGCATGTTCTCCGTTGCTTTTTATGTCCCTATTTCTGGTCTGTGAGCGTAATAAATCGATTCATTCATTCATTCATCATAATTATCTGTAGGGTTCATATATTTTTTCATGAGTTATCATGGCAGTGGTTGAAAAGCCTAGTAGTTTTTTTTAAAGCAAGACTGGAATATAGCCTGAGGGTTTAAAAAAATGCTTTATCTGCCACCTCATGGATGAAAAAGGTTCATCATAACCTTGAGCCTTCGAGTGTTTTTCTGAAGACTCTTGTAGCACCAGTACTCCCATTCCATGATGCAGAGAAACTGCACTGTGCACGTGTTGAATGTGGACTGTGTGAAGGAAGCCCGAGCGCGCGGCTGCGTGACGATCGGGCTCAGACATCCCGCTGCTCGCCTTTCTGTTCCCTGAGACTCATCCTTATTCACCATCCCCGGGGTAAACGAGGGTTGGCGCGGCGCGGCAACAAGGAGCGCAGGGCGCCAGAATGATCCGAGTCTCCAGCTCCGCAGGGCCAGCGGCGCCCACGTGTACCGCTGGGTGGGAGGGGAGAGAGAGAAGCAGAGTAAGCGGGAGTCCATATAAGGCGAGGCGAGGGCGGGGCTTGAGGCCGGAGCGACGCAGGCGCTAGCCAATGGGGGCTTGGCCAAATGTGCCAGCTCCGGAGAGCGCGTCTGGTGGCTGCTTGCAAAGTTGCGAGCGAGCCGAGGAGCCCGGAGTGCAGTTGGCCGGTGGGGAGCGCGGGTGCCTCCGCTGCCGCCATGGGAGCTGGTGAGTGGGAGACGTGGGGGGTTGTCTGCCTCGGGACCCCTTGGAGGTATCGCCTGCCTTGGCTCGGAGCTGGTTGGCGAGGCGCCCTCCGGGTTATTGCTCCCTTGAAGAGCCGCTTTGGGCGCCGCTGCCTGCCTCCCTATCTCCCCTCTGGGACACCGAGGCCTCGGGAGGATGAGAGGACCTGACCTGCCTGAGGAAAGATTGGGGCCGGCACCCCTCCCGGTCCCAAGGGATCTCCCCCCCCCCGTGGGGAGAGGCCATGAGGACTAGACACTCAGGAAACAGAGAGGCTTGTTTTTCTCTGTGTGGGTCTGGCTTGCTTGGTAGGGCTTAAGCTGAACCCTTCCTCACAACCGGAATCTCTCGTGAGTGTTAAGGAGCCATGGGAAGGAATAAATGGAGGGCGCCTGAGCGTGTGCAGAGTGCCTTCCCTGCAAGCCCGGATTTCAGAGAGAGAAAGAGAGTGATAGCGATTTTCAGGGATCGTAAACATGCCCAGATGAAATGCTGGTGGCTGCTTGGCAGATACTTGGGATGCCTTTATAAGCTGGTTTGCCTTGCTGCTCTTAAATAATCTGTGTAGTAGGGTGCGTAACTGGTGTTTTATACATAATAACAGTACTTGTTAATGATAGTGCCAAAAGGAAGTTCTAATTTGCACAGCGCATAAACGATGGAATTTACTGTCACAAGATGTGGTGAAGGCTACCAGCCCGGATGCTTTCTGAGGGGATTCGACAAATAAATGGAAGATAAGAGTAGCAATAGCCGCTTGTCATTATGGCTGTTTAATATCTCCAGGACAGGAAACCCTGTGACTTTGAATATAACTTGCTGGAGAATAATGGCCAGAAAAGGCTACTGCCCTTGTGCTGTGTGAGCTTCACATAGGCCTCTTTTTGGGCACTGTGAGAAACAGGATGCTGGACTGATCCTTCTTCATAAGTTATTATATTAGCTTAATTGTAATTGCTCAGTTTTGAAGTATTACCAGTTCAGGCAGCCAAATAGGGTGTTATAAAGGAAAATGTTTTGCTATGAGTCTTTTGACTATCCTAAATAATCAGGGCAGACATATGCCTTGCTAATTTGGGAATTTGTATGTGCTTGTGGTGTTTGAGCCCTGACAGTTCACATGTGTACCATGCTGGTCTTACACCCATGCACACCTCTCCCAAAGATAGTAGTGAGCTCTGCTGTCGGTGCAGGTTGGTGGTGGAAAAAGTTGACTGATTTCTCCAGGAATGCCTTCTGTCCTTCCAGTATAGTTGGGAACTTGGAATTTTGCTTGTGCACCTAGCCCCAAATTAATAAGAAGTCACTGACCACCACAGTGTTGTTGTCAAAGGAATATTTTGCTAATTCTTCTTACTGGGGTTGCCAAAATGGAAAATGTATCCCAAGTCAACCCTGATATTGAACCCCAGTACTATAGCATTTTAGGGTGCCATATATGCTATTATTCTTGTGGTTCAAAATTGCCATATGGTCTACTGAACAAATGTTTAAAGTGGGGATTTTCAGATTCTCCAGAATCCTTTTTGAAATACAAATGCCGGTGTCCTCTGAGGAAGATTTATCACTCTGGATTAAATGGAGGCAGGTGACAGCTTTCTGAGTGAAGGTGAAGCCAACACTCTTTGCTCTAACATCTGTGCAAACTCAAAAGGTTTGGGTTGGAGGAGAGTCAAAGTGTCTAAACAGTGGATTCCCCCCCTCCCTGCACTGTTTTGAAGCAGTTTCACAGCAAAACCAGGAAATGGAGTAATGGTGTCCTGTGACCTTTTATTATATTTAGGAGAGAATGACAATGGTTCTTTTCCTAATAGAGAAACAAAGGGAAAATGTTGGATCAGGAGTTTTGAATAATGCCGCAACAGCCTGGTTGAGGGGTCAAAAGGGACAGGACTTTTATTGAGTTGTCAGATTCTTCAGCCTGAGCCTGGATACTAGGTTGCAGTTATGAATGTGAAGAGCAGACAAATGCAAGCAACTGCAACTTTCAATACCGTGGTGGTAGGAAAGATATATTGTTTAGCTGTGTGGAGCTTTCAAATAACAGAGGAAGTACTGAGGTTTTTCCTGGCTTTGGGAGCTTTTTACAGGAAAAGATGTGAAAGTTTTCTGTCCTTTGAAAAAATGCAGAATTTTTCTTTTCTTTTCATATGTACACCTGTCAGTTAAAAGAAATATGGGGGAGATGGAGGGAACTCCCTGTTTTGTTGGCACTGGATAGTCAGATTTTCTCTCTATATATATTTCCGACCCATTACAAGGTTTGAGGTGATGTGGTGGTAGATCTTCTTGAAGATTACCAATGTCAGAAGCAGGTAAGGGTATTTGCTATCTAAATTGCAGACCTGTACACATTTACTTGGGAATAAGCCAGCATTTATTCCCATTTCAACTTCCCATTCTTTAAGATCTGCTGATTACTTTTTTTCATGTTCCTCTTCCATCAGAGGTGCAAATACCATGTATAAGGGAGAGGGCTTTCTTGGCAGTGACAACTTAGTTATGGAATGCACTCTTCAAAAAGGACCACCTGGCACCAACACTGCTATCATTTTGGCAGCCAGACTTGTAAATAAACCCACAAAAGTTGCTAGTCTGCAAAACCTTAAAAAAAAAATAAAAATACCACCGTGCTGCAGACTGGGAAAGGGGATGGAGATAGTGCTGTCCCTCCTGCAGTAAACCACTACACTTTTGTGCTAGGTACACAGGAGGGAGAGACAAAGCACTTTGTGCCTCCTCCACAAGCCTGCTCACCCATCTGCAAGCAATTCCATGCATATTCCTGCATCCAGTTCCTTCTTACCTCACCTCTGGCTACCAGGCTAGTGTTTAAATGAAAAGCACTCCCTAATTAAAAATAAATAAATACTTAGATGTTTTAATAGATTTTATTGACTTAATTGTGCAAGTTGTAGCCTCTTTTAAATTTTATCTGCTGTTTAATTGTGTTTTTTATGCTGCAAATACTGTCTAGAATTTTGGTATGATGGAAGGGTGGTATTGAATCATTTGAATTTAATGAATAAAGTCCCATTTGATTACTGGGACTTACTTCTGTAAATGTACAATGGATCAAAATATAATTAGAAAAGAAGTTTATCATTTTAACAATTATCTCCTTGCTGAGAGGTAGAGCAGAATTATTGGTACTTTTGCATTTGGGAACTGAGACTGAAGAGAGGGTCTATGAGTTCATAGTACAGTGAAGATTCGAAGCTAGTTTTCCTGGGTCAGGTCTGGCTGGCTTTGTATGCTTTTTGAAATAGCCTGTGAAACATCCTTCATAATCACAATTTGTTTGTAGCTTTAGCAATATTATGTTTCTGTTGTGGGTGATGCCTGCATTGCTGCTTTATCTCTTTCATTGGAAAACTGGTTTGTTCATCTGCGGAGAACACTTAAAATGGCAAGGCTGCTTATTCTGCAAAATGTATATGCACAGCCACTTGATCTCACCTTCCATTCACGAGCAATTTTCCAGTTGAGTGGCTGTAGTTGAGGTTTGCAGCACCTGTGCTGGGATGACTGGTTTAAAGAACAGGCCATTTTTATGGATTGTGGAGGTTCTTCTTCCATCATTAGCTTGAAATATCAGTCTCACAAAACTGTTACATTTCGAATTTGCTAAGGATTTGGCAGTCTAGAGACAGATCTGCCACATCTCTGGATTGGCAAGATTAACTTCTGCTTAGATATACAGATGTTTTTACTGGGAATTAGATGCTGTGGTGGCTTTAAGTGACTCATGATGGTGTTATGATAGCATTTGACTCTGATATCTTATTTTTTAAAAGGTTTGATATTCCAGTGTGATATGAGAAATCAGCATTCAGAATCAGTGACCTTTTATGTGTGCTTGTGAAAGGAGACCTGCAAGCAGTGGCTGTCTCTAATTTTTGTGGTTGCAAAGTGTTGAGTGTTAGGATTGTTGGAAGATGAGCTGAAGAAGAAGAACACCTGAAGCATTGTTGTGGGAGAAGTGGCAACCCTGCATCCTTCCTTCAAAATAAGGGTTTCACCCCCACCCTCTGTCAAGTCCTCTTTAGAAGTTTGCATTCCTTCAGGACTGGCCCCAACAATAGGCAGATTGAGGCAGTTTCCTCAGGTTGCAGATGCTGGAGGTAGCATGATGGCAGCAGCCTTCCCTGGCCATTTCTTCTCAGAATCCTCTCAGCTGAGTCTCCTGGCCATTCCCATCCTCCACATTTAGGGTGCTGGAAGCAGCAATGCTTGCTGGTTGCTGTCCTGGTCTCTCTTTCAGTCTTGCCTCATCAACTTCTCCTAGTACTTCACAGAAAGTGCCGTTGGGAAGGCCTGTGATTGAGCTAGTAGGAAGAGAGGCGACCAGGCCAGGCCATGCTCTCCAGAAGGTTTCTTGTGTGTAGATGCATTGCTTTGCTCCTGCTATGTATTCTGGCACTGCTGCTGCATTGCAAAATCTGTTTGAGTGAGACGCATCAGGCATCAGATGGAGCAGTGAGCAAGCCATAGTGAAGTATTGGAGGACAGAGCTGCGCGTGTTGTGTGTGAACTGTCGTACACCCCTCCCTAAGCTAACCTGCTGCTTTCAAGTATGTTGAATGATGTTGTCCCATCACCAGTATTGAGGCAAGATTCAATTGTCAGCCCAGGCAGCTGCTGTACATGGAACTGGGGTTTGTATGTGCGTTATCTTGTCGTTCACCTCCAGCAGCAAAATGTCCTGGGCTTCTATACACATTCTTCTATCTTCACCACATTTGCAAGATTAGGATGATAAGGTTGTTGGATCTGGCCACAGGGCTGGCCCAGGACATTTGACAACCCTAGACAAAACCGAAAATGCTGTATGCCGATGCATGCACACTGCTGTACACACACACACACACACACACACACACACACACACACACTGTCTGCGGTGAGCAAGGGACTAAAAAGAGGTGTGCGGCAGGCAGGCATTTGTGTGGGTGTGCAGGCAGATCCACCATCCTAGGCAA